ACCACTGAGCAACACTGGCTGGGCATCCTCCATCTATTTTTGTCTTGGTCATTGTCCTCTCCTGTCCCCCCTATTGGGTATTTAAATTCTTTATTACTGTCTTCAGGCTGAGACCCCATTCACTACTCATTTTCTCATCGGGTAGACAAACACTGTAAAATACTCACCTGCTCTCCCCTTCTCCTTCATGCAAACCCTCCTCTTGTGGCCTCAGAGAGGAAGGTGTTCTTCCTCTCATTCCACCCAAGCCCAGTTCCTCTTCCTGGGGGTTTAGAACTGCCCCTCTCGTCCCATCTTCTCCAAGACCTTCTCCCATTAATGACTCCTGCTCTCTTCCCTGCATCTTCTCTCTGCTGGCTGTTTTTGTTTGTTTTGCCCTCCCCCCCTCAGCTTCTAAACCTGTAAATTCTTTCCCCTCTCCTTTGGAAAAACACCCTTCAAAAACACTTCTTCCTCTAGCTTTGGCCCAATACCTCTCCTTCCCATCTCCATCATACTTCTCAAAATTTCACGTCCCCCTTTTCCTAATTTCCCTTTCACTTTCTAGCTCAGTTTCATCTCGTTCTGCTGCATTTCCATTGGCTAAGATCACCAGTTTTCCTAATTCTTAGAGTCAGTTTTATCTGACCTTTCCTCTCTGTGGTTTAGCAATTGGATCAATATTGACTTGCTCCTGCATTGCATTAAAAGGGTATTTGGCCAAGGAACCAAAACCCTAGGGGGAAGGCATTCTTTCTTGCATCCCATCCAGACCTAGTTCCTCTTCCTGGGGGCTTGGAACTGCTCCTCTACTCCCGTCTTCTCCAAGACCTTCTTCCATAATGACTCCTGCTCTCTTCTCTGCATATTCTCTCTGCTGGCAAAGAGATAAAAGATAAAAGGCTGAACTAAGACAGCTAATAGTGGAGATAGCCACTCGGTGAGATGTCTTAGGTAAAATTGACAGAATTGTTGAATTAGGAAGAAGAGAAAGGACTTGTGGATAACCTCTGAGTTTCTAGCTTGGGAGACAAGAGGTATGGTGTCTTCATATTAATGGAGTCTATAAGAAGAAAAAACTGGGTGGGGGAATAGAAAAAAAGTTTCCAAAGTTCTGTTCATGATTAATTTAGCTTGGAAAAAAGAGAAACACATATAAAGTAAATTTGTTGAGATGTAGATACTGGGAGAATATTTTAATTTAGAATATACATGGAATTAGAGATAACTTTGTACAGCTCATGAAGTCTGGCAGAAAAAAAATGTCTTTGAGATCTAGTTAAAAGATAAAACAGTTGAACTAATAACAATGAGATCTTTATTTCTCCAAGAAGGTTTTAGGATTAAATGAACGTAATATAGAGGAATCCGAATCTCTGACTGTCCCTAGCATAAACTCAGCGGTGGGGTCAGGATTGGGGGCTACCAACACTGCTGCAGTCATTTGCAGGGCAGAATTACCAGAGAGTTAGGGTGTCTTGTCCTAGGATCAGAGAGGGGAACATGCTATGTGGAGGGATAGTGGGAGAAAGAGGCTGATCACTGGCATCACTTCTGAATTTGCCCCTGAGACCTGATGGTTAGGTCTACTTGGTTACATTTTTAGGTGCCTCATTTTGAGACCGATTTTGTCAGACCATGTGTGGGGGCTGGATTTGTTAGGGAAGGCTGTCTTCAGTTCCTCCTGAGACATCTGAAAAGAGGAAATGGGAAGGGAACACCATATGGGCAGTTGTCTGGTCATGTTGAGAGGACTCTCATGTAGATTGTCCTGTGGGAGTTGGACAATTGACTTAGAAGTGGTTGATGAATGCCTTAGGATGGGAGGTAGTGAACAGGATCAAAGAATGAGAAGTGGATCATAAGTGGAATTACTGCTAATCTGATCGTTAAAAGACATGTTGATTCAGACGAATCTGAAAAAGAGACTAAAACCAAACATTCAGAAATGTAGGAATGATTATATTTATTCTTTAAAAAATACACACAGAATCTAAGGAATGCCTTGTTTACAATAGCTGCTCAGTTTATTTCTTGTCCTACTGTATATCTAACACAATAAAGCTCAATCTAGAGATATTTTTTTAAACAAGTATCAACAACACTTTTCCTTAAAAAAATAAGACAACTTTATTGCAGCATCACTACTATATATAGTTGAATTTTTCACATCAAGTTGGTTTAGTTCTTTGAAGAAAGTCTTAATAACTAAAACTGTACAAATCCTAGGGCAAGATAACTAGTCTAACAAATTTAATAAAAAATATTTCAGAACAACTACAATATAGCTTTAGACTATATTAAAACTGTCTTAGATAATTATTTACAACTTTATTATAGTATAAAAACTCTAAACTTTAAAATAAATCTGTGGATTTTATACAAAAATACTCTAAAGTACAAATATAAGTTAAATGTTGAATAAAACATTCACCAGGTCCAGTGGAAGTTATTAAGAATATATTCTAGGGTGGTAAAATGTAAAGTGGTAACCCAAAACAGTGTTTCCTTAATCATTCACAATTTTAAATATTTTAGTAGTAATCACGAAGTTTAGAGTTTCATTGAATAATTTTCATTTTTACAATTACAAGATATACAATTTCCTTCATAGACTACTTCTCTTTCGCTCACTAAAAAGTCAAAAAAATAATAAAGATTTGTTAGTCAAAAGTTGACATGCTATGTACAGTATATAAATTGTAAAATTTTCAAAATCTCTTAGCTGATTCCCTTTAAAAAGGAAACAGGTTGTACATAAGAAAAGACAACAAACCCATACAGCTAGAGGGTTATCTAATCAACCTAATAACAATGTTCTCACATGTGAGAAAAATATTAAGTACCAAAATCTTCTTTAAAATAAGCCATTGTTTTATGATAATTATGAATGGAACAAAATTTCACATTTAAGTAATTTTGTATAAAATGTATTTGGACTAGTATAAGAAGCATTTTGCCAGGAGGTACCATTTTGTTGTGTAAAAAATAAGCATGCCTCTCATTTAATACTTTCCCTAAAATGCTACAAATGACATTTTAAAACAATGCTGACATTACTTACAGTTCTGTTTTTACCTTGAGGTACTAATTTTACATTTGGCCAGATGGTCATAAAAATTAAAGGGGAGATATATGACCTAGAATATACCAATTTAAATTTTCTGAGACATTGTGTTAAAATGTCATTAAAACATACGTATTATAGTTACCAACCACATTCTTACAGAGAAAACGCACATTAAAATTATTACCCTACAAACAATTTGGACTTTAGTTTCCGCTTCGGTTCCTTTCCATTCTGTTCAGTAGAGTTATATGCATGGCATTTTTGAATAATTAAACATGGATACCAGAATAGCAACTGAACAAGTACATAAAACTTGTACTTGGGAAGAGAGTAAATACTGACACTGGGAAAATTTTAAATGGCTCATTTTTCCTAACATGTTAGTGCAAATTAGCAAACTTTTCAGAAGAATTTAGTCATGGAAGGAAGGAAGCATAATCTCATCTTCATTCACTCCTTGTTCATATCGGACTGAAGAGAAGCCTGCCCAGTGCATACGGTTCCTTTGGAAGAGGAACCAAATCAGTCCGACAATGAGAGCCAAGATGCTTAGCACGATGAATGCAATAGTTATTCCTCTGTAATTGGGGCCTAGAGCGGGGAAGGGTTTGACATTGGAGGAGAGAATATAAAAGCGATTATTACTAATTTTATGCATTTGGCTGTGTGCCACATAAGCAAACCTTGTACAGATTAGATACAAGTACTTAATTGTTTCAGAGCATGAACACAGAATTCAAAATCACCACCAAACACTTAAGTGCTTTTCCCCCCAAATTTAACTATTTTCCTTTTCATTCAAGTCCTTTTCATTAGAATAGCAATATTCTTACAAAGAAATTAAAGCTTCAATGTCTCCTACTCTTAGACATCTTCCCTGATAACACAACCTAGAGTAGCTATCTCTCTAGTCTCAATCATGTAGTTTATAACAATTTGATATTTTCCTCTCTTCTAAATATGAATTTGCTTGGTTACTTATTATCTGTCTTCCTACACTAGATTATGGAGGAAGAAAAGGTATCTCATTTGTTTTGTTCCCAGGTGCACCCCAGCACATAGAACAGGGCATAACGTAAAGACTTAAAATATCTGCTGAGCCCTAGCTGGTTTGGCTCAGCGGACAGAGCGTCAGCCTGTGGACTGAAGGGTCCCGGGTTTGATTCTGGTCAAGGGCACATGCCTGGGTTGCGGGCTCGACCCTCAGTAGGGTGCATGTAGGAGGCAGCCGATCAATGATACTCTCTCATCATTGATGTTTCTATCTCTCTTTCCCTCTCCCTTCCTCTCTAAAATCAATAAAAATATATTTAAAAAAATATCTGCTGAATCAGTGAGTGATTATACAGATACTGATGGACACCTTTATGCTAGATCTTTAAAATGTTGCTGTGACAAAGTTTAGAGCTCTTTGGCTAGAAATTAAGATTTTTATGGTTATTTAATATATATCAACTCATGCTGAAACATAAGTTCAAATTGCGACTTCTTACAGATATCCAAGTAATTCCAATTAATCAAATCAAGTTTTGGAATGCTGTTAAGGTAATCATGAGTTTTAAGGGACTGAGGAAAAAGGAAGCAAACTGCAGAATGAAATCTTTGAGCTTTTAAATATTTAAACTATTGAATAAAATACATCATAAGAACATTTTCAAAGAAGTGACCTATCTAATATGCTGGCAGCTTCCATCTTTCTTAGGAAAGAATTGTATAAAATTTAGACTTTTAGTCATTTCCTCTGGAGTCCTAGGCATCTGGTATATTTATCATCTTTGGTAATTGAGTTTTCTGAGGGAAAGAATCTCTATGACTTAAGATGTTTTTAGTACACTGTAAGGACCAAATGCTTTAGGACCTAGTACAATGCTTTGCATATTATTAAATTGTACATTTATTTTCTAACCTCTTCTGCAAAAATGTTTTTCTTAAGGACAGGTTACATACTTACCCAGAGGAACTTTGCAGACAACTCTTCCATAGCCATGTGAACAGTCAACTTTTATCCAAGTTTCATTTGAAGCTAACAAAATGCTACATTTTCCACCACTGCTCTTATGTTTATTTGCCCATTTGACAAATTTCACTTTTGATTCATCTAACCAATTCCAAGATTTATCTAAAGAAGGAAATTAAATACAACTATGTTTATTGCCATTAAATTACTCAAGTAAAAAGGCTTGCAGCTCATACAATGTCATACCACTACTTAATATGAAATTTATTAAAAGTGAAAAAATTTAATACTCAGTCCATCAGTCACACTTGTCACATTTTAAGTGCCCAATAGCTATATGTGGCTAGTGACTACTATATTGGACAGAGCAGATGCAGAAAGTTCTATTAGACAACACAGATATAGTATGTAGTGTTTTGATTAAAGGGCAGGATTCTTGCACATTTATTGTGTGACAGTAGATTTCTACAGACCTTTATCCCCCTCCCTCGCTTACCCTTAGTTAAAAAACTCATTATTGAAAGTATGTTGGTGGGGAAGGAAGGGTCCACCTTAACTCCATCTTTATTTCCAGCTGAGGCAGCGCCGCCTTGTGGCGATAAACACACTTTACAATTCATAAATAGTCATCTTTGAATCCATTCTTTTTTTAGTTTTAATTTTTATTATCCCCCCCCCCCCAATCAATATATGGTTTTTATTGCATCTTTAAAATATCACAAATAATTCTGAGGAATAATTGGCATCTTTCTGTTTCTATAGCTGGACAACTTAGATCATATTCATCAGCCTGCTGAACTGTTTTGTTTTCAGAAAAATAGATACCATCAAAAATTTTTCTGATCTCTGTGTTTTTAACTATTGTGGCTTGCTGAATCAAAGCAGCTAATGTGATACAAATTCAATGTCATTTCCTTCAAGGATCAAATCTTTCTGGGTTTGAGATACTGAAAAAGCAATACCTGATCTCATCTGAACCCTGCCAATTATGTTTTGCCCAAGAAATTTCTGACTTCAACAAGAGAACCACTATCCTGAATAACTGCATTGATGGGGAAGTGAGGGTACACAGACCTCATCTTGTAACGGAATCCCAGTGTAATTAACACCTTCATCATGTTCTGTACATGATTTCAGATAGTGCTAATCGTGGCCAATTCCTTTCTGTTTTCCCACCATTTGTCAACCCAAAGCAGTGGTCGGCAAACTGTGGCTTGGCAAACCACGGCTCATGAGCCACATGTGGCTCTTTGGCCCCTTCAGTGTGGCTCTTCCACAAAATACCAGCTCTTCCACAAAATACTGACTTGGGTGCATGGGCCACGAAGTTTCGATTGCACTGTACGTGCGCGCCCACACGTGGTATTTTGTGGAAGAGCCACACTGAAGGGGCCAAAGAGCTGCATGTGGCTCGCGAGCCGCGGTTTGCCGACCATGGACCCAGAGCCTCTTCTTCTTCCCAGGGAGACTGAGTTCTATATTGATGTGACAGAAGTCCCTCCGCAGGGTGCCTCTGGGGCCCTTCGCAACAACTGTGTGTCCTTCAGAGTGATGTCGACATTATCTGAGATGTTGACAGTCTGACTGCTCAGAATGGACTTCATAGTCACAGTAGATGCAGCAAAGAGTTTGAGTTTTTAATTTTTTAACTAATTATTTATTTTTAAATTGAATTTATTGGGATGACATTGGTTTACAAAATTATATAGGTTTCAAGTGTACTTTGCCACAAAACATCAACTGTACACTGCCCCAAAGCCTCTTTTGACAAGTGCTTAACACTTTGGAATTCACATTTCAAATATTTAGAATTAAACTTTGTATAAAATATGAAACAGACTACTTATTAGTCTATTGAATATGTACCCTGAATTCACTTATTATCAATTTCAAGTTCACTCAAACCCTGCGTCTGTTATTCTTTATTGAAATACTAGAGGCCCGGTGCACAACATTTGTGCACTCAGTGGGGGAGGGGTCCCTCAGCCCGGCCTGCATCCTCTCACAGTCCAGGACCCCTTGGGGGATGTCCACCTGCCAGCTTAGGCCTGATCCTAGTAGTTGAACATCCCCCAAGGGGTCCTTAGCGCTGCCATGGAGGCGGGAAAGGCTCTGCCACCACTGCTGCGCTCGCCAGTGGTGAACCCTGCTTCTGACTGAGCAGTGTTCCCCCTGTGGGAGTGCACTGACCACCAGGGTGCAGCTCCTGCGTTGAGCGTCTGACCCCTGGTAGTCAGTGCACATCATAGCGACCAGTTGTTCTGCCATTCGGTTGATTTGCATATGAGGGTTTTATTAGATAGTATTCTTCCACAGATCTTTTTGAATCAATTCTTTGCAATTTTTCTAAGTTATTTTGAAAAAACAAATCACTATGAAGATGTAATTTTTCTCTATGATAAAAATGTTCCAAGAGGGAGGGAAAGAACAAGAAAAGAACTTTCTGAGTAACAGAGTTATAAGCTGGGAAAACTTGGGGTGATAGACATGAGAACTCTAAGGGAAGTAAGTGATGGGCTCCTTGTGCGGGCATGGGGAACACAGATATTGCTGTAGAAAAAAAATCTATCTTATTGGTCCAAGTATTTTAAACTTCTAGCAATTCCAATTGGTTTCAACTGATTTTGTATTGCATCAGTGTTTCCCATCACTACTAATAAGTCATTCACTTCTTCATTAGGAATTTATAAGCCTTGAAAACAGCCAGCAGACCTAGCTTACTCATCAATAAGAAACATTTGAATTAAATACCATTTGACATTCTTTAGCACGGCTGACTTGGTATTTAGGACAAGTTAGAGCTCTCTTTGCATACTGCACACACAAAGATGTCACTTACCGGAAGGATGCTGAGATAATCCAAGCCAAACTCTCATGGTAATGTTATTATTTTCCCTTATCAGTCTGCTCACGAATTTATTCTCATCTTCATCCTCTATGGTAACAAGAGTTGCAGAATGATCTGTTGAAGGAAAACAAACCCCTAACTAATTAGCATTATGCAAACTAGGTTAGTGGTTTATTCTGAGCCTTTGAGAAAAGAAAAACTATCATGATCAAGATCACTGAGAAATTCAAACTTTACAGAGAATGTTTTTAAAATCTGATATTGGCATTAATAGCTTCCTAAAAAGGTAGAAATATTTCTAGATTGAAACTCTGAATAAAGAAATTTCATGTGTGTTTTATCTACTATGTTTACCTGGTAACCTTTTTAAATCTTGGAACTGCCTAACCAGTGAGACTGTTGGGGAGCACTAGCCTTCCATTTAACATTATTTTATACATATGTGCATTTGGTCATGCCCATTGTAAGTTCCTAAATATAGTATGGAACTGAAAGAGTGAGTATGCTTTAAGTTTGATAGTTTGCTCCAAACCCATAGAGAACATAAGCATCAGGCAAGGAATAGAAATAAAATAATAACTAGACTTGGAAATAAATCCTAAATGGAATCAGATAGTCTTCAATAGCAACAAGCTTATCCACACCTGAACTTTTGTGGTAGGGTGTATTTAAAGGGCAAAGGAAAGCCTTTACTCCAATTACTTACATCCCACAGTACATAGGTACTTTATGTTACCGAGCTATTATTACACTAGAGGCCCGGTGCATGAAATTTGTGCACAGAAGGGGGGGGTTCCTTCAGCCCAACCTGCACCCACTCCAATTGGGGACTGTGGGATCGGGCCTAAACCAGCGGTCGGACACCCCTCTCACAATCTGGGACCGCTGGCTCCTAACCACTCACCTGCGTGCCTGCCTGATTGCCTCTAAACCCTATGCCTGCCTGCCTGATCACCCCCAACCTCTCTGCCTGCCTGCCTGATTGCCCCTAACTGCCTCTGCCTGCTTGATCACCCCTAATTGTCCTCCCCTGCCAGCCTGATCTCACCCCCAACTGCCTCTGTCTGCCTGCCTGATCACCCTCATCTGCCTCTGCCTGCCTGATCACCCCCAACTGCCCTCCCCTGCAAGCCTGATCGCCCTTAACTGCTTCTGCCTGCCTGATAACCTCTAACTGCCCTCCCCTGCAGGCCTGATCTCACTCCCAACTACCCTCCTCTGCCAGCCAAGTTGGTTCTGATTGGTCAGTTTCTATGCCAGTCAGCATCAAAAGCTCTGCCTCCTAGGCAGCCATTGGATCCTTACATTCACCCAAATTTGGTTTTGATTGGTCATTTTCTATGCCAGTCAGCATCTCTGGGCCTATCAACGGGGCCTGATCAGTGCCCCGGTGGAGGCCTGGAGAGAGATGGAGGCTCGGCTGTTGGCCTGGCTGGAGAGAAAGAGAGGCAAGTTCTGATCAATGGCTTCCACAGAGGCTTTGGATCAGACCCTGCCTCTCTCTCTGCAGGCCTCTCTCTGGGCCTGATCCGCAGCCCCCTAGGCAGTCAGTGCTGGGTCAGGGCGCCCACAGCGGCCCCAGTTAGTGCTGGGTCGCCACGGCAACCCAGCACTGACTTCTGGTCTGGTCAAGCCTTCCCTGTTAGGACCCTGGCTCTTTATTATGTTGATAATCCTATGGAGGAAGGCATTATTAGCATTTTACAGATGAGGAAGCTGAGGCTCAAGGAGAGCAAGTAAATTGGTTAGGACTACACAGCTAGTCAATTATAGAATTAGAAAGTCAATCTCAATCTTTCTAATGATTAAGTCATAAATGCTCACTATTTGCAGGGCACTATCCTACATTTACAAACATTACCTCATTTCATTCATTAATACAACAACCCAATCTTTACCCAAACTTTGAAGTAAGTACTACATTTGGCTTTTCAGCAATGGATTTGAACTGTGAGGGTCAACTTATACAAGGAATTTTTTTCAATAAATATACAGTCGGCCTTCTGTAACTCTGGGTTTTGCATCCTCAGATTCAACCAACCTTGGGTAAAAAACAGTATTTTCCATCAGCAGTTGGGAATCCGCTGATGCGGAGGGCCAACTGTATACATTGATCTATGCCATTTTGTATGAGGGCCTTTAGCATCTCAAGATTTTGGTATCTGTGGGGATGGGAGGTGGTTCTAAAACCAATCCCCAGTGGTTACTGAGGAATGACTGTATATTTTGGAAAATCAAAAGTTATACACATAGGGTCAGTGCCCCTAACCCACTCGTTGTTAAGGATCAACTGTATTTTTATTCTCACTCTTTTCAGGTGAAAAAAGAGAAACAATTATGTAAGTTCACAATACCACTCAGCTAGTAAGTGTGGGACTTGGATTTGAATCCAAACCTGTCTGCCTCCAAAACTTAAGTGTTTAACATGCACACGCACACTACAATAACAGTAACCCTTTCTATTTTCTCCTTTAGGAGCCAGAGACTTCTGACCTCCAGAGCATATATGCATATATATAGCTCACAATAGTTCCCATCACATATCTATCTATCTATCTATCTATCTATCTATCTATCTATCTATCTATCATATATGCATGTGTGTATATGTCTGTATTATGTATATTAACACAGAACAGTTCCCACACAAAAGTTCCTATCATTTAGTTAAACAGTAACATGGAGATTTAAAAATCTTCCACTTGTCTCTACAACAATTAGCAAAAAAATGAGATAGATACCACCTGCCTAGCTACACTGATACCCAAGAATACAAGTCTTCTAGAAGTCATGTCACAGTTTGACTACTGGCTAAATTTATCCTGGGAGAGCTTTAATCATTGCTGCTTATCCTAAAGTAGTTCAATCTGAACACGAAAGTCCTATTCCTGTGGTGTTCAGATGATGTGAGCCACTGTTATTGCAGAATGGATGAACAAAACATGCTTTATGTTACTCTGGTCAGGCTAAGCTTATTTATTAATAACTAAGTAATGAAAAAATCTACAATTTTGTATTTACTACTTAACCAACTTTGTAAAAACTTTACCTCTTAACTCCTTCATCTAAGTAGATCTCGCTCGATTTAAAACTCTTCCCTTGTCAGTATTTTCACATAACAATTTACTTATTTTTCATTCTACTTCCTCTCACTTACTTTTATTTTCCATGTACTTATCCTTAGATCGATTATTTTTAATGGCTATTCCAATATTCCATTGAGGCCATACATCATAAAATACTAAACCACTTCCTCACCACTGGGCAATTAGGTGATAATGCTTTTATAAATTGTGTCTGCTTTAAAAATATTTTCAGAAATGTAATCATTGTTTCAAATTATTTATTTAAAAAATTCCACTGATTATATTATTGAATCAAAAAAAAAAAAAAATAAATGAGCCGAAACCGGTTTGGCTCAGTGGATAGAGCGTCGGCCTGCGGACTGAAAGGTCCCAGGTTCGATTCCGGTCAAGGGCATGTACGTGGGTTGCGGGCACATCCCCGGTGGGAGATGTGCAGGAGGCAGCTGATTGATGTTTCTAACTCTCTATCTCTTTCCCTTCCTCTCTGTAAAAAATCAATAAAATATATATATAAAAAAAAATAAATGAATTTTAACTCACCAAGTTTTGAACAAAACTGTTTGGCTTCTGAGAAATTGTGTAACGCCTGGTCAGATGCATAACAGTGGTCCCTGTACTGGATCCACTGGGATCCATTCCCTTTTACTGCTGGGCATCTCGATGAATATGTAGGAGAAGATACCTCTTGAGCTACAAAAATGTGAGACAATTGTAAAAATGCACAGAAAAAAAAAACTGACTTTGGGTATACACTCTAATTAGATTTTTAGAATACCATTTTTAGAACTTAGACGATAAAGGAAAGTACTTGCCCTCAAAGATGGATTTAGACTAAGTTAAAAACAACTGGAAAGACATAATAGAAAAAGGAGCAAAGATTGGCTAGGCAGGCCTGTAACTACTTTGAAATAATAATTACAATTCTTTGGATCCCTTTTTATTTTGATAACAGAAACCTTGTTTTACTTTGCCATATACAGAACTACTTTTCAAAATCACAGCCACAAATGAAAATTTGGTAATGTGTTTTCAAAATGCAAAATGTCAGCAGAGTAAAATCACTCTCAAATAAAAAAAAGAGTAGGTGTGGCTTCTCAGCTTTTAAAAACTCCTCTGGTTTCCATTTAAAATGTTTAACTTTTAATTGTGCTGTATCACACAGGAAGCCTGTGTAGCAAAGCCTGTGCCTCTGATTATTAATTTCCACAGAAGAGAGCATGAGAACTGGAAGGTAAAGTATCAACATGCTATTTGTGCGGTACAGAGCATCAGAATCAAAGCTCTGACCTGGTATGGCCAGTCATCTCAAGCCCAGCTATTCTTTTGTGTGCATTCTGCATGGTCTGCATGTCCTCCAGTCACTGAAGGCTTTTCCGGCTTTTTCCCTCCATATCTCAATTTGGTAGGTTCTTCTCATTTGTGGTGCCAGTGGTTCCAGAAGAACGGCTGCTGCTGTTTCCTTCTTCCTCAAGAGATGTTCTGACTGTTCTTAATTCCTTCTTCTGTTTCTCTGTCTTCTGTTTCTCCAGCTGGGCGTGATCTTTTTTGAACTTTAGTTATTTGATTGGCTTTTGCCTCCATTCTTTCCATGAAGGCTCTTGGTGTGAGCTCTAAGTCTCCCTTCAGTGTGACAGTTGATAACTCCTGGGTAAGTTTCCTAGCGACTGGTGATCAAAGCTCATGGCCAAGTCCATCTGTAAAGTCTGTAGGGCTTGTGACGGCTCTACATTAACGCTGCTGATGGAGAGACGTTACTAGCAAGTGCTTCCTTTTACCACCTTGTGAAAATAGTTGCTTTTTCAAAAATAAACTGCCGATGACAACAGTGCGTCTTGCACATTGTTGTGCAAGACAATGATCTGTGTTGCTTCATTAGATGCAAAACATCTTGAACGTTGGCTCCCAATGCATGGCTAAGATTGATGGACCTTTCTGAATTGCTTGGCTTTAAAAATAAAATTCTTCTTATACTAGGAACCCCCGGAGATACCTTATCTTCTAAGTCTACTCATTTCTATCCAATCTGCATCTGGGCTGTCTTAGGCTGCATACGGTTTCTTTCTTTACTGTTACTCATGGAGTTTTACTTCCAACTCTTGCATTTATATTTTCTGCAAGGGCCAGCACTGAGAACCAGAAGCTTCAGAGACCAACCCGCACCAGCCCTGGCCGCCCAGCAAGCCTCTGCAGCTCCTGGTGGTCTGGGTTCTTGTGCTCTTCCCCAAGGCTCACGCTCTACCTATCAGAAATGACCTCAGGCACAGCCCCTGATGCAAGGGGCTCTTTCCTCAATTTTAAGGATCATATATGTTTGGAAAATGCGTAGTTACACAACATGCAACAGACTTCTTGACCACAGAGACTCCCACAGCCATCACTCAATATGGAAGGCCACATGAGGCATTTCTCAAGATACATGCTGTGGGACACTTCTTTTAAAGAATCTCAGTCTTTGAAAACACTGCTAAGTGAAACTGAAACTCACAAATTCTAGAGTTAAGACTTCCCTAGTGATGGAACTACTGAATATCTTTGAGAACAAATTCCCTGACCGGGTATATTGTATTTATTTCTCTTTGCAAAAAATATCAAAATTATTTTTGGAGGACTTGTGAATAAACCTTATTTAAAACCTCTAAAAACTCCTTGAGTACTTAATCACATGCATAAAACAAACGTTATATTTTAGTAAATATACAGTTATTTGAAATCAAGTCTTACATTTTGTAGATTTATAGCAAATAGCACCATCTCCCTTAGAGCTGCAGTTTTCATGTTTCCAAATTCCTTTTGGATCCAAGAGAACACAATTCCCAGCAGACTGCTTATCTTTCCATAGGATGTAGTCAACCGCACTGCCATCAGACCACTCAAAATTTGATTCCGTGCCCTGTATTAGGAATGATAGAGACAACCTGAATCTAGATGTATGACTTCAAAAAAGAACATAAACAAGAACATATATACTTTAAGAAATGTTGGAGTGGAGCATTAATTATTTGCCTGCAAGTGTTGTAGGTCTGGATCTATTTGTAAAATCAGGGATTTACTTTCGATGCACTGATTTGAGACATTTGCTCTGGCACAATATAAGTAGGATTTTAAATTTAGAGTCAGAGTTTTTACACTCTATCCCTAGATTTATTCTGTTTAAAGATGAGTTTATATAACACTTGAAAATAAATGATGTGTAAATGGCTTCCATTTATCACAATTACAGATTTACAATTCCAGCATTGATATTATCCTAAATATTGTTTTTTATGTTTAAGAGTTTTGTGGTTTGTGTCTCTGGCTACATTATTTTTCATATTACAGAAGCCAGTAATCAGCAGGGGGCTGAAAACTACTTCCCAAGATTACTTTTAATTTTTCCTTGATTCTATAATCCTAATTTACCATCCTTTATTTTATTTTCCCCATTGTTTTAAAGATTATTTACATCAGGCCTTCAATTCTAATTTCAATAGATGTCTATTTTTTTGTATACTAGACATTATTGTAGCTACATGAATATAATTAATAGAACTCAAATAGTGGCACAAAAGACGTGTTTACTAGTAGATTACTCTTAAATAGTGCTAATTTCTAGAGGAAAGTGGCAAAAGTATATATATTTACTAGTCCTAATGTTAAGAATTTTACTTGGCAGCTTATAGCAATCTTCATTATAATCATAGATTAAGGAAAATAATTATCACTCCAAAATCTTACAGATGAGGAAATAAGCTTGCAAATGTCAAATATCTTGCCCATGATCACCCGATATGTAAATGGGAGATCTGCCACCAGTGTGGAACGCGGGCTTTTCTGATTCTGTGCTCTTTCCTTTTCACCAGCTTTTCAGTTGGTCTCGCCCAAGCAGATCACAGAGCTGTTGTGTTACTCCTCTGCTGGGCCCGGGAGTGTTGAGGGCCACGGCAGTCCCGGCCACGTGCTGCAGTGCACCCTACAGATATAATGTTCAATTTGTTCTATATTGTGGAAAGTCGAGAAAACACGATGCTATGCAAATTGAGTCCCAGGACTTAATCTGATGTTATACTTTGCATTGATATTTTATGCTCACGTTGCTAAACCTCTAACAAATGTGGGAAATTTCTGGACAACGACAGCAATACTCACATCATGACTAGAGAGCCCAACCCACAGTGGAAATCCATCCCGCTTTGCGATATCTTCCAGGAAGAGCTGGCCACGTGAGTCATGAACACTAGCCAAATTACCTCCACTCTGAGAGCACATGTTTACTGCTTCGTACCATGTCAATGTTTTTTGAATGACACTGTAAATGCCATCTTCATATGGAATAAACTGTGGCAGAGTAGTATTATATGCTTCCTTGTAGTCAACTAAAATATTTAAATGAAAAGTGTTCATGATTAAATTTGATTGTTGACCAATGTCATCCAATCAATTTAATAAATAAATACTAAAAATAAAATACATATTTGGGGTAAGACAGGTCATAAAATCACTTCAAACGATAAATAAAACTGGGTTGCTTAGTAGGAATGGAGGTCAAATGCATACTTCATTTTTCTTCTTCCCACGGCATATTTCACAGGCTCTTAAATATGACAGGAGTCTGGCTGATTAAGAAAAAGGCATACACATTGTCTTTCATTGAAGGAGCCCACATATTACTTGTGGCCAGAAAACAACAATACCTACAACGAGGGCAAAACAAGTACCCGCTAGAATGTGTGTAACTACTAGAGAAGGAGAGGGAGTCATGAAGCCTGCTGGAAAAATTAGGTCTCCAGATGTTAGGCTAGGTGAAATCAGGACTAAAAAGAAATGAGGTAACCAGAAAGTAAGCTGAAAACAAACAAATAATAACAATAGCACAACCACACTGATGAGGGTATTTCAAAGGGACACAGAAGCCAAGTGAAAGAACGTCCAATGTCCAGAGCTGGCACAATCTGGTCAAAAGATTAAATAGTATAGTAAATTGGATTATATTCCCAGTATGACATATGTAACCATGAGCCAATACAGATATCAATAAATGACTGATTTTTTTCAATTACAGTTTACATTCAGTATTACTTTGTATTAGTTTCAGGTGTACAGCATAGTAATTAGACAATCATACACTTTACAAAGTGCTCCCTCTGATATTTCCAGCATCCACTTGGAACCAAACAGTTATTAGAATATTATTGACTATATTCCCTACACTGTACTTTACATCCCCATGACTATTTTGTAACTACCAATCAGTAGTTCTCAATCCCTTCATCTTTTTCACTCAGTCCTCCACCTCCCTCCCCTCTGGCAACCATCAGTCTGTTCTCTGAGTCTATGGGTCTGTTTCTGTTTTCTTTGTTCATTTATATTGTTCTTCGGATTCCACACAGAAGTGAAATCATATAGTATCTTTCTTTCTTTGACTGACTTATTAAATGACAATAAATTTTAAAATGTGGAAGAATGGAAAAAACCTTCTGTGTGGTCAAATTCCAAATAAAGTATGTAGATACCACCCTTTTCAGGAAGGTGGAGAGTAACTCTCCACTAAGTAAATGTGGACTGAGTACAGTGCCTTCCTACCAAAGAGTATGTTGTAGGAAGGGGGAAAAAGAGTAACTCTGCAGTGGAAAAAATCTGAAAACATTACCTAGAGCCAGGTGACCAAGATTAAAATCAGTAGTGATAATCATGTTGATAGCATACCCCTCATCTGATATGAGAATGACACTACTTCTGTGGTTTTCCCCTAAACTCCAAAACCATAACCCCAGTTTAATCTTGAGAAAAGAATGAGGGACACTGTACAAAACATGACCAGTGCTCCGCAAAACTGTCACGGCCACCTCCGTAGCACCTCTGGTAGCACGGAATCCAGAGGAAGCACTCAGAAAATACAATTACAAGGTGCCCACCAGGGGAGCTAACGGCTTTCTATTCTCTTTCCCTGGAGTGGAAACTCTGCATTAGCATACTCACCCATTTCAATTTTGCAAGCAAGAATGCTGTGCTGATGAAAGTAATGTATTTCTTCAATAGCATCAAAGGTATGAATATCCCAGAAGCCATCAGTACTCAAGCCAGCAAAAAGCCGGCTGTTTTTTATAGCTGGTCTTCTCCCTCTCCAGTGCGTATAGGACAGCATGGTCTTATCAGACCACATAAGAGAATTATCTAGAGAAGAAACATTTTTTTCTATGCTTAGAGATGAAATCAATACTTGAATTACAATTATGAGGTTAATATTTCAATCTTACCTTTTCTTTCTTCTTTCTCTACTCCCTAAAAGGTTATATGATTATGCGCATCCCTCTAATAATTGTAACAGTGAATCATACTTATTTGCAATGTTGGAAGTACAAGTTATAAACATGAAAATAAAAATTTACTGATAATTCCACCATCCTGCAATAACTTTACATGCTATCTTTCATCAAATATTCATGTCTCCTACATGTATGTTTGATTGCAATGAAAATGAATGTAACTATTTTATAAAAAATAATTTATTATAAGACTAGTGACAAATCTCTTATCTGGACCGAAATCATACACAATTGTGCACAATTATGTCAACTGATTTTTGACAAGAGTGCCAAGACAATTCAATGGTGAAAGAATAGTTCCTGGGAGAACAGGATATTTATGTACAAAAATAAAAAATGAGGTTGGATCCTTTCCTTTCACCATATACAAAATTAACTCAAAATAGATCACAGATCTAAGAGCCAAAAACTATAAAACTCTTAGAAGAAAACATAGGAGAACATCTTCATGACCCTGGGGCAGGCAAAGCCCTCTTAGATATGCACAAGTGATAAAAGAAAAATATACATAAATTGGACTTAGTTAGAATTAAAAGTTTTGTGCTACAAATTATACTATCAAGAAAGTGATGGGAGAAAATACTTGCAAGTCATTTATTTGACAAGGGACTTCTATCCAGAATATAGGAAGAATGCTTAGAACTCAACACTAAAAAGGACAAATAACATAACAAATGGGCAAAGGGTCTGAATAGAGATTTTTCCAAAGATGACGTACAAATTGCCAATGAATACATGAAACAATGCTGAATAGCTTCAATCATCAGATAAATAAAATTAAACCTCAATGATAAATCACTCAGACCCACTTGGATGGCTATAATAAAAAAGACAACAAACTAACAATCTCCCCTGACCCCCACAAGTGTTGGCGTAGATATGGGAGAAATTGGAACCCTTGATGGAAAATGGTATAGCTGCTTTGGAAAATAGTCTGTTAGTTCTTCAAAGGATTAAACAAATCCAACAATTCCAGACCAAGTATATATCCAAGAGAAATGAAAACATACGTCCATATAAAAACTTGTATATGAATGTTTATGGCAGCATTATTCACAATAACCAAAAAGGTGAAAACAACTTAAGTGCCCATGATAAACAGATGAATAAAATGTGGTATATCCATACGATGGAATATTATTCAGCCATAAAAGGCATAATATGTGATACATGCTACAGTGCTACATACATAAACCTTAAAACCATTATGCTAAGTAGAACAGTCACAAAAAATCACATACTGTATGATCTGATTTATATGGAATGTCTAGAGTAGGCAATCTGTAGTGACAGAAAATAGATCAGTGGTTGCTAAGGGTTGGGAGAGGGGATAGAGAATGAGGAGGAACTACTAATGGGTATGGTGTTTCTTGTTAGGTTAGTGATAATTGCAGAGCTCTCTGATTATACATAAAGCCATTAAATTATATACCTTAAATGGCTAAATCATATGGATGTGACTATATCTCAATAAAGTTTTCGGAAAAACAAACTGCTAGGTCTATTGAAATTATGAACTGGTATGAGGAGTGATGTCATTACTACCTACACATAATCCTGGTTGTCTGTACCTTTCAGAGATCCCCATCTCCCAAGGCATTATCCTAAACACCTGCCTGCAGCAATGTAACACCAGCAGCACTATACATATGATTTTGTTCTTTATTGCTGCTTTGTAACACCTCACATATCCTAGTCCTTCTTTCCCTCTCCCCAAATGTTCAAGTTATAATTTTCTGACTAACACAATGGGCAAAGGTGTATTTCTGAAGTTGCTATACAAAACCATTTTCATTTGAAATATCTTTCAGTTGACATGTGGCTTCTCTTAGTAATGTCTATTCATGGCCTTAACTTTGAAAAGTTCAGAATTTTAAAAAACAAAATCCTTTGTATGGGCGGTATACAGTTAAATATTATTTAAGTATATCAAGGTGGTAAAAAAATCCATGGGTATAAATTAAGCCAGTAAGAATTAGATTTAAACCAAATTTGCTTGAAACATCTCTCTACATGTTGCTCATATGGCTACATATTTTAATAGAAATTTTGTTACTCAGACATTTTATTAAAAATTTTAGGATGATTAAAAGAAAGTCTAGTGATCTGAAAACGCTTTTCAGAATATAGGATACATATTCAGTTGTTTGTGACCATACAATTAACAAAATACATCAGAGGGTGCAATTGAAATCTCTAACTATATCCTGGGTGTGGTCTCCGCTGCTCCGTAAGTTCACTATTTCCTCAGTCACTTTCAGATAAAGCCCGAGAGCTTTCCATCTAGTTTCCTCTGCCTCCCCACCCCCATCCTCCGCCATTTCTAAATTTAAAGGTATTCAAGTGTCAGTGGAAAAAAGACTTGGGCAACTATGTCCTATTATGATAAACTCATCTTCAACTGGCAACCCAAATCTTACCAATTGCTTGATAGCTTAATTTTTGTTAACTAATTTGCAAGTCATAAAGATTTAAGAAATGCCTTTGCAATTCTAAGAAAGACAAGTTAGATAGCAAAGAGAAGGCTATTTTTAAATGGTCAGACTTGAGTAATTTAGTTTATTTTCCTACCCCACCTCTATCATTGTCCTGTACCCCTTATTACGGCCTGTTTTTGAATAAATGCAGACTTTTTGATGCTTTATGCCCACAGAGTGATTTTCTTTTTTCTAATTCCAAAACTTTTATGATTTTCAGGACATCTCTAGTTGAGTATCTTTCTAAATTGATCTTAATGACCCTATTATTAGAATCTGTGCTTTACCAAATTTTATAGCGATTAACTTGGATTTGTGGTATTTAGACCCAATGTCAAATATTCTATCCCATTGTCAAACTATGTACCTGATTTTCTTAATGTATACCCCAAGCCAATGCTATAAAACCACAACATTAGTAGAAGTGTAATTCTGTTCTCACTCATCCCATATGCATAGTACAGACACAAAGTAAGTACTGGAGATGCAGTTGGGAATGTGATCATTTTTAGTCTGGAACTGCTAGGAGGGAGAGTAGAGAAAGACTTATTTTTCACCATTTAACTCTCCGCTTGGTGGTAAAGACATTTTAATAGCAGAGAGGAGACATAAAAAATGTTTCATATTCATACGTTACGCTTAGTGCATTAATGATAATTTTGTATATTAATACACATATACTTTGAAGGACTATTCTTTTATAGCTTGATAAGCAAGTAGTTCATAAAAAGTATAAATATAAATAGAGAAAAATCAGCAGATTTACAACTTACTTTCGTAAATTATACCTAACATGACCCATGACGCCATATAATTAAAGTGCAGAAGTTGCTCAAGAACAAAGTTATTCTCTTTTTCATCTCGAATACTCAGAATATGCGATTTTGGATCTGTTAAATAGAAAAATAGTCAATAATTTAAACAATAATTTATCTAGAATACTTTATTTGATTTAGAAAATGTTATTTCCCAGTTTAATATACCCCTAACTTAAACAATAGCAGAAAATAAGAAAGACATGTCAATTAAAACTGTCTCGTTGTACTAAAATGAATAGGTAAAGAAGCTTTAAAACATTTGATGATCAATAAGGTCTTATGGACTAGTGACAATCTAGTAGAGGAGTAGAGTATTTAAAACTAATTCACGTCACCTTTCCCCATTTAAAGCTTATTTTGAGTTGTACAATTCCACCTGTATTTATGCTGGATACATTGTCAAGTACTATAATAAATAAAACCTCTTGGATGGGTTCTAAGACAGAGCTTCCTTTGTCTTAGCGATCACTCTTACATTAGGGTTAAAAAAAGTTTTTATTTCCCATAGTGTGTTCCTCAGGGAATTAATAGGAGTTCCTCAGAAAAGAGCTACATGGATGAAAACTTTGCAAACACTGGTTAAACAAGTCAACTAGTTCATTTGTGCCAGTATTTCTTACAATATATGCAAATGCACATTTGATCATCTGTAACAGGAAGCGATGGTGTTTCTTAACCTTGTTCTTTTTCTAAGGATCCTCTTGTGTAGAACACTTCTCAAGACCAGTGTTCAACATAGCAGTTTTTGGGGGTGTGGGGAGGGTAATGGCTTGGTATTTCCCATAGGCACTTTCTGCAAAATTCATAGGTCCACTGTTGAGAAGTTCCAAATCCCCAGTGGATGGCATAGGAAATATCTGAAACGTCTTCAAAGTGTGAAATATGTATTTTTTTAAAGCAGAGCTGCTTCTTTGTGGCTTATCTAAGCTTCTGACCACTCAAATAAACTTTTCATTTTGCCCACAGTCCCCTCTATATAGTGATATTTCTTTCCCTTGTGAAGTAGAACCCATTTTGTTTACACCTGTAAAGCCAGACTAGTTCTCTGATGAATGAATAAAGAAAGAGGCAACTGCTATACCTTCCACTTTAATTAAAAACAAATTAATGTAGAAATTAGAAGATGAATACTTTTGAGATCTTGTTACTAGTGCTAATTAGAAATATTTATAACACAGGCAAGATTTAAAGAAAATGAGCATAATGCAATATATAATGGCCATATAATATACTTACTCAGTTGTTGGCATCTAGAATGAATATCATCTTTTGTTACTGCTGTGTATCTGTTCTTTGCTATCATGAAATTGTAGCAATAGTTCTGATATGGTATCCATGGAGTATTTAAAACAGGAGATGGACAACGAACACTATTAATTGGCTTGACCTCTTTCTTAGTCTCATCTAGAAAGAAAAAATTAATGGTCTGAATATTAATTTCAGATATAAATGCTAAATCCTATGTATAGTAATTGGACTTGATTAGTAGGAAATATTCAGGAAGCGAAGAAATACTAGCCTGGTGATGCTTGTTCTATTTACATTCAATATCATGTGAACTTCTAACGAGCTTTCTTTAGGAAAGAAATTATTTAACGCAGTAATTTCCTTTCCCCTGCTGTGCAGTGAGTGGAAGAATGTAAAAAAACGAGGTGCTAGTGGGTTAACTGTAGTTTCTGTCTTCCTCCATCTCCAAACTTCAACTACAAAAGGCCGCCTCATAGAAACTATACAAACATAATAAAAGACACTTAACTATAACTTTGAGGGTTCATCTTCAAGTGTCTGGTTACTGATATCTTTTCTAATTTTAAAGGAACATTTAATGAAATACGTGATGTACTAAGTAAGTCATTGCTTTAACAAAAGCAAACAGAAATAGTTTAAAACCTGACATCTAGAAAACCTAATTACGGCTTTCCCCCCCCATTCTGTGAAAAGGCCATACATTCAAGAAGATGCAAGTATAGACATGCTCTACTCAAAGCCCATAGAACTGCTTAGGTGTGCAGTAGAGAGACCTGCCAGTCTCTCCCAGCTTATAACCAGTCCCTCTGTCTGAGAAGGAGTGTCTTTTTCGTACCCCAAACCCACACATGGGGACCCCTGGCCGTTGCAAGACCACTTTCCTCTGAGTGAGCTAGAGATTGCATACCTGACTCAGCCAAGTCCTTCAGATTCCCTCTAAGAAACTGAAAAGTGGTATTCAGGGACAGTCACCTCCAGTGATGGGGACAGGTGAGAGCTGCAGAGCCGCCACGGGTCAACATGTGCACAGAGAAGCAGAAAGCAGGTAAAGAGAGGAGTGCAGGTTCACAGAGAGAAGCAGAAAGGATAGGTAGAGGATGGCATCTGTTTCTGATTTCCAATCCTCACAAGGCTTAGCTCTATCCCCATTTTTCAAGGATCTAAAATTCTTTTTTTTGGTTTAAACTAGCTTGAGCTCATTGCTGTTACTTACAACCAAATGAATCTTAACAGTGAGTCATAGAAGAAATTGTAGCTGATGATACGAATTGTAAAAGGATTACTACAAATATACAATTTTCTGTAAGACTATAAGCAGCAAATATGTGCAAATGAGGCCAATGGGGATTTAAAATTAAAAGGACAATTACCATTGTCAGCTGATAAAGATAAAACATGTCTAAAAATAAAAAAATAAAAAATAAATATTAATGACGGAATATTTAATATATAGTAATTTTTGAATACATTATTTTCACAACAAATTTTGTTGTTAAAAGAACATGATTGTGCCCAGTCAGCGTGGCTAAGTGGTTGAGCATCGACCTATGAACCAGGAGGTCACGGTTCAATTCCCGGTCAGGGCACATGCCTGGGGTTGTGGGCTCCATCCCCAGTGTGGGGCATGCAGGAGACAGCCAATCAATGATTCTCTCTCATCATTGATGTTTCTGTCTCTCTCTCCCTCTCCCTTCCTCTCTGAAGTCAATAAAAATATATTTAAAAAAATAAGAACATGATTGTAATTTTCTTACAATTTCAAAACCAGATTTTACAAAACCACACCCGTCATGAGACTAATCATAATTTGAGAAATGAAATATCTGAATTTAGCATACTTCCTGGATAGTAGCAAATAGCACCAGGCTGGTGGTCATCGCATTCGGATGTTTTCCAGAATCCATCAGTATCTAAAAACACACAGTCCTCCAGCTGCTCATTGTTTTCAGCCCAGCGACTAAACTGAAGATGTTTCCCATCTGACCAAATGTAGTTGAGTTCATCCTGCAAAGAACGAAAACACATTTCAAGTGACAACTTCATGTAATCCCCTTTTGTATTGCTTTGGCCCTCATGGTCCATCTAATGACTTTTAATTTTATCTTGTATTTAACACACACTCACATAGCACTTACTATGTGTCCAGGACTGGTTTAAGTGCTTTGCAAATGTTAACTTATTTAATCCTCATAGCCATAGGAGATAGGTACTATTATACCTATTTTACAGATGAGGACACTGAAGGCATGTAGAGTGCACAAAGTCACGTAGAACATAAACTGCAGTGCTGCTATTCTCATCCAGGTTGGCAGGTCCTGGCATCCATGGTCTGAATTATTACACTATGCTGCCTCACACATCATTGGCATTGTTGGTTGTTGGAAATCAGAAAAGTTAGAGACAACATGTAGTCGTGGAGAGAACATGGGCTTCAGAGCTAAGCACACCTGGTTTTGAATTCTGGTTTGGTCACTTATTAGTTCTTGATTGTGAGTTTACCTCGCCAAGTTTTCATCCCCTCAGCTATTAAATGGATGTGACACTGAACCTCCTGGATGGAATTAATGGCATAACACATGTAAAAAACCTACCTCAGTGGCTAGCTGGGACACACAGAAAGCGACATACATGTTAGCTCCCTCCCTCCTAACCCCTCAGACCATGTGGATGTCATGCCAGTGTTTCCACACTTGTCTTTGGAGACACACTTCCTTATCACTATATTCTTTTTTTTTTTTAATATATTTTTTATTGATTAAGATATTACATATGTGTCCTTGTCCCCACGTTACCCTCTACCCCCCACCCCCCCCACCCCCGCTCATGCCCTCACCCCCCCGTTGTCCATGTCCATTGATTAGGCCTATATGCTTGCATATAAGTCCTTTGGTTGATCTTTCCCCCTTACCCCCACCCTCCCCTACCTTCCCTCCAAGTCCCGACAGTCCAATCAATGCCTCTCCGTCTCTGGATCAGTCCTTGTTCATCAGCTTATGTTGTTCATTATATTCCACAAATGAGTGAGATCATGTGGTATTTATCCGCTCTCCAGTTCCATCCATGCTGTGGCAAATGGTAAGAGTTCCTTTTTCTTCTTCCTCTTCTTAAAGAATACCTTTCAGCATTTCATATAATGCTGGTTTGGTGGTGATGAACTCCTTTAGCTTTTTCTTATCTGTGAAGCTCTTTATCTGACCTTCTATTCTGAATGATAGCTTTGCTGGATAAAGTAATCTTGGTTGCAGGTTCTTGCTATTCATCACTTTGAATATTTCTTGCCAGTCTCTTCTGGCCTGCATGGTTTCTGTTGAGAAATCAGCTGACAGTCGTATGGGTACTCCCTTGTAGGTAACTGACTGTCTTTCTCTTGCTGCTTTTAAGATTCTCTCTTTATCTTTTGCTCTTGGCATTTTAATTATGATGTGTCTTGGTGTGGTCCTCCTTGGATTCCTTTTGTTTGGGGTTCTCTGCGCTTCCTGGACTTGTAAGTCCATTTCTTTTACCAGGTAGGGGAAGTTTTCTGTCATTATTTCTTCAAAAAGGTTTTCAATATCTTGCCCTCTCTCTCCTTCTGGTACCCCTATAATTCTGATGTTGGTACGCTTGAAGTTGTCCCAGAGGTTCCTTACACTATCTTCATATTTTTGGAATCTCTTTTCTTTTTTCTTTTTCGGTTGGGTATTTTTTGTTTCTTTGTATTTCAAATCTTTGACTTGATTCTTGGGATCCTCTTTTCTGCTGCTGGATCTCTGTAAATTATTCTTTATTTCAGTCAGTGTATGCTTAATTTCTAGTTGGTCCTTTTTCATGTCCTCCATGGTCTCCCTATACTTATTGAGGGATTCATTAAATTTATCGGCGGTTTCCATAAAATTCTTGAAAAACCTTATAAACGTGGCCTTGAACTCTATATCCAATCGTTTGCTTTCCTCCATTTCTGCCATTTGTGACCTGTTTCTTTGTCTCCGCATTTTGGCAGCTTCCCTGTGTTGATAGAGTGGCCCTGTGCGCCAGGTGTCCTGTAGGGCCCAGTAGCTCAGCCTCCCCAGTTACCTGGGGTGGACACTCTTGGTGCACTCTTGGTGCCTTGGTTGTTGTAGAATCACTGGGAGGAATTGACCTCCAGGCCAATTGGCTGTGAGAATCAGCTGTGTCTAAAGTGGGAGAACTTCTGTGCTGAAGACACCCTTCTGGGGCAAGACTTGCTTCAGTGGGGCTTTGGTGCTCACTGAGTCTGCTCCCTGAGTGTGTCCCTTATGGGTCTGAGGAGTTGCAGTCTGGATGGACCCCCTCTGACCACTGGGTACAGTGGCTCCTGGATCTAAGGAGGTGCTAATTCAGCCTCTGCCTGAGGCCACACAGCAGGAGCCACGAAGAGGCTCAGCTGTGAAGCAATGCAAGCCGCTGCGGGGCCTTGGGCCTTCTCTTGGAAGTTCAGGGTCTGCCTGGTTCGGCTGCAGTTAGGTACATTCACATGCAAAAGCCTCTGCCGCAGCCTGGGTGGGGCGGGGTCTCAGGGAGTCAAAGGGCGGAGAAAGCAGCCATGGCCGATTCTCCACCCGGAGTCGCGCGTCTCAGTGTCCCGATAGCGGCTGCAAGCACCTCTGAGGGAAAGCCACCCTCAAGTTCGCTCGCTGCTGGACAGACCAGCCTCTCCCCGTATGAGCCCTGGGTCCCCAGAGACTTCCCGGAACCGGAGTTCAGAGCAGTCGGGAGTTTGTGATTCAAAAAGACAGCCGCGTCCTCAGGTGCTACCCCCTTTCCTCGCGCGCGTGCCGTACCTCTGCACTTCACCTCCGCAGCGCCTCTGGCTCTCAGCGTGCTTTTCTTTCCTTCTAGTTGTAGAATTTACACTCAGCCAGCCTTCCTGTTGTTCTGGATGATGTTTGCTCAGTCCTTTGCGGTAATTTTCAATTGTTGTGTGAGGCGACAATTTCCCGGTGTTTACCTATGCCGCCATCTTAGTTGCTCTCCTTATCACTATATTCTACTGTGCACTTTAAGTCTGTGAACACCTGTCATTACATCCTGACCAGGGCCTGGCCACTCAGCTATCTTGAGGAAGGCTTTACAGAGTAGGCACAGAAGTCTAGGAGATGGATTGTGGGGTAGAGTTCTGTCTGAGCTTCCCCATGGTGCTGCCAGAGCCGAGGCCTCACACAGGGACTCATGGAGCGAAGCTTTCCCGAGGCCCAAGGTTAATTTTGTATCACTGGCTTATTTGGAATACTGGGCAAAGGCCACACACAGTCTCCTTAGTGAACCCAAAATAGCAAACATGGTTAAGCCTCAATACCACCAATGTTTCATTCTGAGCTGTTCTCCACCAGAGTTCTAGTTGTCACTTGTGTTAAGTTAACCCCCAGGCCACGTGGCTTCAGAGGTAGCCCTCTGGCCACGTGACTGTACTTGTATGACCCTGGATTCCACCCCCTTGCTGCACTCCCAACTAACCCAGGACCCGGGCCTCTGAAACTTGTAATCCTCATAGGTTAATCATCTCACACACTCCATCTCTTTAATGAATACTAAATCTCTTTACTAAGACTATACATAGCTGTTACTAAATTCTTTTTAAATATATATATATATTTAATCTTTAAATTCTTTATTAGTTAAGGAATTACAAATGTGTCCTCATCCCCCCCCATTAAGCCCCCCCTCCCCCCCAACTCATGCTCTCATCCCCCTGTTGTCCATGCCCATTGGTTTGGCTTATATGCATGCATGCAAGTCCTTTGGTTAATCTCTTCCCCTTACCCTCACCCTCCCCTACTTTCCCTCTAGGGATTAATAGTCTGATTGCTGTTTCTCTGTCTTTGGATCTGTCCCTGTTCATCAGTCTATGTTGTTCTCTATAATTCACAAATGAGTGAGATCATGTGGTATTTATCTTTCTCTGACTGGCTTATTTCACTTAGCATAATGCTCTCCAGTTCCATCCAAGCTGTGTAGCAGGATACAAAATTAATGACAAGAAATCTAAGGCATTTCTTTACACCAATAGTGAACTTACAGAAAGGAAGACTAAAAAAGCAATCCCATTTACCATCGCACCAAAAAAATTAAGATACCTAGGAATAAACTTAACTAAGGAGGTAAAAGACTTATATGTGAAAAACTACAGTACACTGAAAAAAGAGATAGAGGAAGACGTAAACAGATGGAAGAACATACCGAGTTCATGGATTGGTAGAATCAACATCATCAAAATGTCCATACTACCCAAAGCAATCTATAGATTCAATGCACTTCCCATTAAATTACCAACGGCATATTTCACAGATCTAGAACGAACGTTCCAAAAATTCATCTGGAATAAAAAAAGACCTTGAATAGCTGCAGCAATCCTGAGAAAGAAGAACAAAGTAGGTGGGATCTCAATACCAGATATCAAGCTGTATTACAAAGCCACTGTTCTTAAAACAGCTTGGTACTGGCACAAGAACAGACATATAGATCAATGGAATAGAATAGAGAACCCAGAAATTGACCCAAAGCACTATGTCCAATTAATATTCGACAAAGGAGGCAAGAGCATACAATGGAGTCAAGACAGTCTCTTCAATAAATGGTGTTGGGAAAATTGGACAGATACATGCAAAAAGATGAAACTAGACCACCAACTCACACCATACACAAAAATAAACTCAAAATGGATAAAAGACTTAAACGTAAGATGGGAAAAATACTAGAGGAATCCATAGGCAGCGAAATAGCAAACATATGTCGAAGGAATTTCTTCTCTGATAATGCTCCTAGGGCAATGGAAACTAAAGAGAAAATAAACAAATGGGACTACATTAAAATAAAAAGCTTTTGCACAGCAAAGGCAACCATCAACAAAACAACAAGAAGACCCACTGCATGGGAGAACATATTTGCCAATGATATCACCGATAAGGGTTTAATCTCCAACATTTACAAGGAACTCATGAAACTTAATAATAGGAAGATAAACAATCCAATCAACAAATGGGCAATGGGCCTAGATAGACACTTTTCGAAAGAGGACATACAGAGGGCCGAAAGACATATGAAAACATGCTCAAAGTCACTAATTATACGAGAGATGCAAATCAAAATGACTATGTGGTATCACCTCACACCTGTCAGAATGGCTATCATCAACAAATCAACAAACAACAAGTGTTGGAGAGGATGTGGCGAAAAAGGAACCCTTCTGCACTGCTGGTGGGAATGCAGACTGGTGCAGCCACTATGGAGAACAGTATGGAGCTTCCTCAAAAAACTAAAAATGGAACTCCCATTTGACCCAGTGATCCCACTTCTAGGAATATATCCCAAGAAGCCAGAAACACCAATCAGAAAGGATATATGCACCCCTATCTTCATAGCAGCACAATTCACCATAGCTAAGATTTGGAAACAGCCTAAGTGCCCATCAGCAGATGAGTGGATTAAAAAACTGTGGTACATCTACACAATGGAATACTATGCTGCAGTAAAAAAGAAGGAACTCTTGCCTTTTGCAAAAAATATATTTTTATTATTGATTCAGAGAGGAAGGGGGAGGGAGAGAGAGGTAGAAACATCAATGATGAGAGAGAATCACTCTTTGGCTGCCTCCTGCATTTAGATGCCCTGACTGGGAACTGTGACCTTCTGGTTCATAGGTCAATGCCCAACCATTGAGCCATGTCAGCCAGGCTCTGTTTACTAAATTCTTGACCTGTTTTTTAAAAGAGAATAATTTCCTTCCAGCACTCACAAGGGAATGCTGTTTGTTTTTCCATTTTCAAACCCCAGAGGGCTATGAGAATGGGGTAGTATTTTTATCTCCTTCAGTCATTTCCTTTGAGGTTTATGCCTCTCTTACCACTGCCAACTCCCAGATTCCTTGTCTCTGTCTGACATTCACTATGGATCCCGCCCATCTGCTCCTTGCTGACATTCACTAAGGAGGTGCCCCAGGCCTTGCTCCAACCCCTGGCCCTCCCACTGACTTAGGGAAATCTATGTTCACATGGGTGATTCTCCCAGTTCCCAAGTTTCCTTGACATTCTCTACTTGTACGTACTTTTACTGCCACATACTCGAGTGACCTACTGCCACAGTCACACTCTGGACTTTACATTTCCCAGAACTGCTGCACTGCAGATGCTGCAAACATGCCTTAGTTCAGGCCAACAGCATTTTCTGCATGAATTTCCACAAGAAACTCTAGTCTCTTATCTCTAGACTACTCACTTCCTCCCCCACCTTCTCCCAGAATAATTTTTCTTAACTAAAAATCTGATATTGTTGTTACCACATTTAAAATCCTTCAATACCTTCACATTGCTTTCAATGTAAAGTTTTATTTATTTATACCCTCCCCTGCTGTCCCAAAGATTTAAGGCGGCTTATGAAGATACATACTAAACAGCTACATGAAATTAGTTAAAAAAACAAAACAAAACAGTAACAGGGACACAGAGAAATATAGGTAAAGACTGAAAAATAGTATAAGAAACAAGACGTGGGGGAAAAAGCTACAAAACAATATGATCGAAATTATCTTAAAAATAAATACATGTACATATAAAAATAACTTGAAGGATATATACCCAATGATTAAACCATATTTATCACTAGGCACTGGGATTATAGTTGATTTAAATATTTTCTTTTAATTTACTAGAACTTAATAAATTTTCCATAGTGATAATATTGCTTTTGTTTCAGAAGTTCAAAGTGATTGAAACCAGAAAATATAATAACTTATTACCAGCCTCACAAGAGACACAGGGATGGGTTTCATATGGTAACAAACACCAAAGAGAAAGAAAAGCAATATTATGAAGAAAATGATGCTGTGAGGTCTGGGAAAGCAGTTTAAATGTAGCTTGACTAGGGGCTACATTTTAAAATATCCCTCCCAGCAGGTGTGGCTCAGTGAATTGAGTGTCATCTCATGCACCAAGAGGTCACCGGTTCATTCCCAATCAGGGCACATGCCTGGTTTTCGGGCTCAATAACCAGTAGGGGGCTTGTAGGAAAGCAGCCGATCAATGTTTCTCATCAATGTTTCTATCTCTCTCTCTTCTCCCTTCCTCTCTCTCTAAAATCAATAAAAACATATTTAAAAAAATATATAAAATATCCAGTCTTGCCCTGGTCGGTGTTGCTCAGTGGTTAGAATGTCGGCCTGCACACCAAAGGATCACAGATACATGGTCAAGGGCATGTACCTGGATTGCAGGTTCGACCCTGGTCCTGGTCAGGACATGTGTGGGAGGCAACCAGACACATAGATGTCTGTCTGTCTGTCTGTCTGTCTGTCTCTCTCTCTCTTTCTCTCTCCCTTCCATTCTCTCTAAAAATCAGTAGGAAAAATATCCTCAGGTGAGGACTAATAAAATAAAATATCCAGAGTCTTAGAGAAACTCTTCTTTAAGCAATTCCTAAATACTGCTTCTTTTCAATGAGTGTCTGGTAACTGCTGGTGATAATGAATCCAAAGTTTGTCAAAGATAATGGTTACTTCTGAGTCTATTCTCCAGTTCAGCTCTGGGTTTGTGTTAGGACTGAATTGTCTTTGATCACATTATCTCCAAGCAGCCCTAAAGCCATCTTGATATACTGAGGGTCATCCTAAGGTGTACATAACTTAGGTTTGCTTCATAAGGCAATGGACTCACTTGCTCTCCTACTCTGCCCATTACCCACACTCTGAGAGTAGTTTAGGAATACCGGTCTAGGCGACTTTTATCTAACTAGGGCTTCACCAGTCATGCACTATGCAGATGCAGGGGGCAAAGTTCACATCACAATCTTTGTAAATGGCACCTCCTATGCACTGCATAATGTATGCAGCCTTATACTCCAGCCCTATATCTTCCCCTTACAATACATCTCAGTGGGCAGAGTATCAAAGTATTGCACAGTAGGCCAAGAAAAGAAACAAAATGGCCTATAATGCTGAGAGGAATACTACAGCTTAAAAAAAAATCTCTATTAATTATAACCCAAAGCTTCAGTAGCATAAATACTCCCATTTGTATGCAGTTTAGTGTTGGGAATGGATAGGAAACTAGCATTCCTTGCTGGGCTATGAAATGAATGAGAACTACCCGAGACATTGACCTGGAATCATGGCTTAAGATGTGGCAAAACACTATTCCTTCTTAGAGTGTCTTCATTTCATTCTGCTGATTCCAAAAGGGATAGGAAGGACTCGTCAGCGCCATCCGTAGGACTTCTATACACCCAGCCCCATCCGGTTTTGTAATCCTATCCCTCCTCTCTTCTCTTTGCTGGCTGAGGAGACATAGCAGCTCCTGATTCCAGCTCAGTTGTTCGTTGGAATAAGTTAAAGAAATGATCAGCTACATAGGCCCACTAGAACTTTTTCTTAATCTAAACAATAAAGCACCAGATCTTCCAACAGTGGAAAGACGACTGCCACTAAAAAACTATATACTTCATGAAATTCACCGCAGTAAGGTTTTATGATCTCTGGGTGTTTTGCGTGTTTTTTCTTTTTGTCTGATAAGAGACAGTGCATAATAAAAAATGCTGCAGTCCATCACCCGATCCTGGCAGTGGGGACTGAAAACTTACGTCTTCGCTGGAGAGTCCAATCCACAAGGAGGCGTTATGCTGGACCGCCTGCACGGTTAGGAACGCCTGCTGGTACGGGTCTGAGATGCTCACCAGGCGCATGCCGTGTTTCTGGCATTCCCACAGAGCCTCGGGCCACGTCAGCGTCTTCAGGATTATTTTGTACAGATTATCTAGGTACTTTACAGTCTCTGAAGTATTCTGCAAGGTCTGACTGCCTTCAACGTCTGTGTGTAAAAGAAAAAAGATACAATAACTACCCACTCTGTGAGTCATAGGACATTAAATTTTTTTTCCCCATAATAATGTACTTTAGATATTACTTATCTATCAGTTTATGTTAGATTTTGGGTGGGAGAGCTAGGTATGTCTTCCTGTATACCTTAGGTAAAATGTATGAGCTCCAACCTTTGTTTTCTAAAATCAGAAGAAAATTCTGTTTTAGCTGGCCCGATTTAGGAAGCAGAAAAGCTATAAGCAAAAGTAGCCTGTGAAAAGATTTCCACTTAGGTTCGTGTCAGATACTTGCTTTGTTTGAAATGCTTCAACAAGAGGGATTCATTTAGCAAACAGTTCTTCAGAAGATTACTTACTTGAGAGTATCACTACATAACAAAGTTAAAAAAAATCATCTGTTAAAAACTTACTGTGATTAATGAAAAAATTAATATATCTTAAAATATTTTTTTGAAAATATGGACAATTCCTATTTTTAAGTATATAGTTTAGTTTTATTTGGGGTATAGGAAGTGATAGTGATCCATTTATAAATGCTTCACATCCTTTTTTAGTACTAAATTTATCTGTGAATGTTTATACTGAACTAAATTTAAAACATTAAGTTTTTTCTCCCCCTTTTCCCATGATAGAAAGTAAAATCTAAAAAATGCCAGCATAGAAAGGAGAATAAAATTCAACCATAACTTATCATTAGACAATTCCTAATAACAAATCCCACCTGATAGTTAATCTTGATATTTAATTAAGTATGATGATAATACTTGAAAAAAAAATCACATTCCATTTGAGATTCCCTGACTCACTGAACCAATATGAATTTAGTCATGCTGACATTTTAAGAAAGCTATGTGATTACAAATTAATTTTAATTCATTTATAAGATTTTTGTTAAAAAAAAGGACTGTACATAGCTAACATCATAAAGTCCCACAGTTACGAGATAATAACCCATACCTGAGTATTTCTGACAGAGAGACAGAGTGTGGTGTTCACTGCAGGATGTGAAATTCCACGTTCCAGTTAAAGGTGACTTTCGGTGGTTGAGCATCAGGGCGCAGTGGTAGCGGGACTCTTCATCAAAAACCTAAACAAAAAGGCAAACAGAAACAAGCAGTCTTGAAACCAGCAGTCTGAAGACCCCAGCAAGAATGATCCCTGAGAAGGGTTCTAACATCACGTGGCTTTGTGAGTAGTTTCTTCAAACTTTCAGGGAAAGATAGTGCCTCAAACTGAGTCCTAATTCAAAACACAAAGGCAGAAAGCTACGGAGTTCATCTTAGGAAGCTCACATGATCAGAAAAAATATCTGACAATATGGCATAAAAAAACGCTATGGAAAAAAACACAAAAAACTCTATGAACAGAGATGAAAACATTCCCAGATAAAACCCTAACAAATCTAACTTGTTAGAATAGTACAATAATAATCCACTTTGAGCAACTAGATTTTTATGAGAAGATAATGATGGTTTAATATAACATCTATTAATTTATTATACCAACTGCCAATAGGCTAAATGGGAAAAACTATATGACAATTTCAATAGGTGCTAGAAACAAGTTTTAAAAAACTTAGTACTTATTTCTGAATAAAAATTCAAAATAAGCTAGTTATACAATAATATATCTTAAACAAAGAGACAACATCATATACATAATAAAACAGTGAAAGACTGCAGATAGGCCCATGAAAGTTTAGATTAAGTCTAGGAAGGTGTTTATTACCCTTGGTATTTACCATGGTTCTAGTACAGGGGTGGGCAAACTTTTTGACTTGAGGGCCACAATGGGTTCTTAAACTGGACCGGAGGGCCAGAACAAAAGCATGGATGGAGTGTTTGTGTGAACTAATATAAATTCAAAGTAAACATCATTACATAAAAGGGTACGGTATTTTTTTTTTTTTTTAGTTTTATTCATTTCAAACGGGCTGGATCCGGCCCGCGGGCCGTAGTTTGCCCACGGCTGTTCTAGTAGTTACACAATATGTAGTAAAGCATGAATTGTTATTTGAAAATTATGATTGTCTCATTAGGAAACATAAGGAAACCTAGTGAAAATCTCTGAGAAGTAATAAGGGCTTTTAGTAAGATTGATGCCTATGAAAACTATATATATAAAAGCCTAAGTGACTGTTATGACTGGTTGACCAAACGACCGGTCACTATGACGTGCACTGACCACCAGGGGGCAGATGCTCAAAGCAGGAGCTGCCCCCTGGTGGTCAGTGTGCTCCCACAGCCAACCTCCCGCAGTCCCTCCCCCTGATTGCCCTGATTGCCAGCCAGGCCAAGGAATCCCACCCGTGCATGAATTTGTGCACCGGGCCTCTAGTAAATATATAAAAATTCCAAACAATAGCTTTCCTACATATCAGTAAGAAAATCAAGAAAAAATTGCCATATCAATAGCAATAAGAAAGACAACTGTTATAAAAACTTCCTTGAGAGATATAAAGGAAGACTTGAATAGAGAGATATTATACTATATTCTTGAATTAGAAGAGTAATAAAAATATGTGAATTATCCCTCAAATATTGTCAGATTGTCCTCAGAATTTTTTATTTAATTGTTTTGATTGGAAATTGACTAAACCTACTTTGTCTGGAAGAATGGACAAGAATAGCTAAAAATATCTTAAAGGTAAATAATTAAAGATATCCAGTCCTATGAAATATTTTTAAATATGGCAAAATTAGAGTACTTAGATCTGTGAGATTGCTATATAAGAGTCTATCTCATATGCACATACACTTCATATATAACAAAGAAGGCATCCTATATCTCCTTTTAAAAAAATGTTTTTATTGATTTTTCAGAGAGAGGAAGGGAGAGGGAAAGAGAGATAGAAATATCAATAATGAGAATCATCGATCGGCTGCCTCCTGCACGGTCCCTACTGGGGACTGAGTCCGCAACCTGGGCATGTGTCCTGACCAGAAATCAAACCATGATCTCCTGGCTCATGGGTCGATGCTCAACCACTGAGCCACTCTGGCTGGGCCTATGTTGCTTTTAACAAATGGAAATAAATGCAATAAATAATGCTAGATAATTAGCTAGGATTAGGGAAAATGATTACATAGTCATTGTCTAGGATGTATTTCTGGAATTCAATTTTAAAGTTCATTTCTTAATCTTTGCTCTTTGTGCAAAAGGTGGTTTGTATCCAGCAAATAGGGAGGACAGAAGCTATGGGCAGCGATCTCATGATATAGGCAACTATTGTTAATATAATGCCTAATCTCCTTTTAGAGCTTCTTTACATTTAACTCTTAGGGGAAAAATGATCACTAATCACCAATTTTGTACTTTTTACCTCAGGAGACTGGTGTTGACAGTTTGAAATCCCAAAATATTAAGTAAAGCATTTATAATTGCTTCTGTTTGCAACTCACTACTTGACAGTTTTACATTATTGTGACATAAGGGATGTGGATCTGGTGCTATTGTGAAAAATGAGGGCATACACATGAAGGCTAGAGACGCTACTGTTGTTATTGTCCTTCTTCTTGTGACAGTCTTATTGAGATACAATTGACAGACGATATAATTCACCCACTGAAAGCATGAATCCCATAGGTTTTAGTATTCACAGGGTTGTACAACCATTACCCTCCAATCAATTTCAGAACATTTCACCTCCCTCAAAAGAAACCCCGTACCTTTTCACCATCACCCTCAATCCTTCTAGCCTCTATAGGCTCTGGCAACCACTAATCTACTTTATTGGCATTTCATATAAACGAACCCATATAACAGGCCCTTGTTCTTAATCCAATAATTTATGGAAGGCTCAAGATTTCATAGAGCCACATAGATTACTGATTCCAAAAAACTTACGTTTGTTGGTATTGCTAGCCTCCGACCCACCAAGAATGGGTGAAAGTTGCTGTACGTCAGCTCTCTGTTATCTATCCATTTAGTTATTCTTTCAAAGGCCGTCCAGCGCAAACCAATCCACAGAGCATCTTCCATATCCGGAAGCAACGATGTAATAAAATCTGTCAGAAAGAGATTTTTTTTAAAAGCATTTGACTTATTCAAAATAAAGATATACTAAAAATGTCAATGATTACCTCCTGCTTATCTATCATGATAGTCTTTTACCCACTCTCTACAAAAATAGCTTAATAAGATTTAAAAACTATATTGATTCCCTTCAGCCTCCCAAAACTAACTTTGCCCCCAGATCAGAATAAAACATGTTTACAAAACAATTCTGCTTGGTTACAAAACCTTGTTCTCTTTGGTTCAACACTGTAGGAAGGGTGCCTCCGTAGGTGTGACAAGTATTGCTTGCTTCAGAAAACGTGAGAGACTTGGGTTGAAGCTTTAGAAAACACTGCAAACAAAGAACATATATGAAGCATACGATTTCAGACATGGGAAAGCTCACATAGGAAATAAATGTCTCATCTTTTATTTTATTATTATTATTTTTTTAATAGTTTATTGATTTATTACAGAGAGGAAGGGAGAGGGGTAGAGAGCTAGAAACATCGATGAGAGAGAAACATCAATCAGCCGCCTTCTGCACACCCCCAACTAGGGATGTGCCCGCAACCAAGGTACATGCCCTCGACTGGAGTCGAACCTGGGACCTTTCAGATCGCAGGCCGACGCTCTATCCACTGAGCCAAACCGGCTAGGGCTGTCTCATCTTTTAGAGGGTTGCTAATTTTTGGACTGTATGTCACAGATGTGGAAATTTATAAAGTAGTACTATAACAATGCAGATCTATACTCTCTATATAAACAACTGAAGAGTGGTCTTTGAATGACTTTTTTTTATATCTCCCATTTGTTGAGTGCTTCCTCTGTGCTAAACAGTTTGCATAGTATTAGCTCATTTAATTCTCACAACTGGGGAAACTGAGGCACAGGTACAGTAAGTAACTTTACCCATAAGTGAAATAGCCATAAAATGGTATGGTCAGCATTTAGACTCCATTACATCTGATTTCAAAGTCTGTATTCTTAATTATCACCTTGTTATATATAAAAATAAATCATTTTAAAAAAATTATTTCCCTGTCCTTTGGCAGAATATTTTAATTCAACTTACATTGACTGTGTAAATTTAGTACCAGTACTTTGGGGGGAAAAGACTGTCCTAATTTTAAAAAATCAAAATATACCCCTAATATTTCAGCTTTACTACAGATGTTTTTAGCTGTTAGGCACATCTCCTCTTTCTTTTTGATGTTATAATCATACTAGAGGACCGGTGCACGAAATTCATGCACGTGGGGGTGGGGGGTGTGGTCCCACAGCCCGGCCTGCACCCTCTCCAATCTGGGACATCCCCCTCGCAATCCGGGACTGCTGGCTCCTAACCACTCACCTGCCTGCCTACCTGATCACCCCTAACCCCTCTGCCTGCCTGCCTGATCCCCTTAACTGCCTCTGCCTGCCTACCAGCCTGATTGCCCCTAACTGTTCCCCTGCTGGCCTGATTGTCCCTACCTTGCCCCCCTGCCGGCCTGATCGTCCCTAACTGCCTCTGCCTCAGCCCCTAGCCTAAGCCGAAGTCTTGCCTCCCTCTGCTGGAGGCAACCTGGCAGATCAGGGGAAGGTGCCACCCCCATCACCCCGCTGCTGCTGCCACTGGTGGCCACCATGGCTGCCTGAGCCTCGGGCCTTGCAGCTGTGCTTGGCTGCCTGAGCCTCGAGCTGGCCCTGGGCAGCAGCAGCTGCTATTCGCAGCTTGCCTGAGTCTTGGGCTGGCCCTGGGCAGCGGCAGCCACCATCCACACTTGCCTGAGCTTCAGGCAGCTGCTGTGGCTTTGTCTGGAAGGACGTCTGGAAGACATCCACCTTAATTAGCATATTTCCCTTTTATTAGTATAGATTAGTGTGGAGTAGTATGTTCTAAATTGTGTTCCTTGAAACATTCAACAAAATGTTTTTATTTCATCTTCCATACAGAATGAAGTGGCCAAGGGCATACAAGTCATTGTGTGGTTTCTAGAAGACTCTAGAGCAAACACCCCGAGCTTGAGCTTGGAAGCCTCATGGCAGAGGAGAAGGACAAAAGGAACCTGCCTTTGAAGAATTCACAGTTTACATACCAACGCCAAGCTGCTTACCTTTTAACTTCTTTATGTAATAGAATACATGTTTTAACATACTGTACCTATCTCTCTTTTTAGCAGTCAAATACATTCCCTAAGAGATACATATACCAATATGGATTATGCATCTCAAAGGAACAAGTATAGAATGTAGCATTTCCCAAACCTATGTAAATCATAAACTCTACTTTAGAGGCAAGATCAATGACGAACATTTGGTTAGTATATGTGTAGTTCCCCAGAAAGTAGTTTGGGAAATGCTAGTCTAGTTTGATTAGTAGATGTTGGGTGGATGTTTTCCATAAGGGGGAAAATTTATCAGCCAGAAATTAAGTCAGTTTCCTATATGCCATAGAGACAGTTTTGACTTCAATGTATTGCTGGTACTCTCCGTTGACACTGGAACTTCAGCAATTTAAGTGTGAGTAATAACAGAATAGAAACACACTATTTTGAAAGAGCTGTAGGCATGACTAACTTGAGAGTTAACTTGGTTTCTAAGGTGAGATATCGAAATATGCAGAGGCTGTCTTAGTGAAGTTATTTGATGGATTGCCATCCTGTCACAGGCCATCATGAAAGCAATCATCATTTGCACAATGTAGCAATTCTCTTTTTACCTTATTCAGAAAAGAAATCCATTTCCCAGAGCATTGTATTTTAGCTGCCGAATCTGGACTATATTTCTCCAATGAAGATACATTATATTTTTCACAGATGAAGGGCAACTTGGTATTACAGTCTGCTGGTTTATTTAAGTCTGAGAAATGAAAAGCAGGATTACTGTGGTCAGATTTTCCATCCAGTACACTTTAAAAACAATCCAGCCATAAAGAAAGGCTATTTAAATTAATTCCCAGATGGTTAAAATATAGTCTTTCTCTTCTCTAGCCATTTATGTCTTCTAGCACTATTCATATCAGTAGGTTATAGCATACCAATATTGCCTATAAAAATGTACCCGTACGGTGTAACCACCGCAGTTACCACAGTTGCCGATGGAGGGAAATAGAGTTGAAGGAGGCTAATGAAGGGGAAAGGGACCTAAACTATATTTTAGAACTGTTGCCTGTTCATCTTTGCAAAGTTGTCTACATGATTATTAGTTACAAAAGTGGTAAATTTACTTGTAATTACTTTAACATAAAAAAAGTAAAAATATTCACAGTGAAAAGTAACTTTACTTGCACCTGAAAATTGCGCTATTGTGATTAGCAATAAATCAGAAAAGATAAAGCTACCAAACACATAATCAAAGGGAAAAACAAAATTGAACTAGTAATTGAACCTGAATTTCACATGTTACATAATCAACATTAAAGGATTTGGAATTAATTTTACCGCTAAGCCAAGTCCTGGCAGACATGTATAGACATTCCTGTCCAAATGTTATAGGAAAGTGATGCCATGGATGTCTTGAGCTGAAAGAAAATGAGAGATTTGACAACTTAGAATGTAGTTACATGTCCTATTCTGGTGTTTACTGTAAATAATTTTAATTCTAAACTTGTGCCATTATTTTATACCCCTTAATTCTTTTTAAAAATATATATATATTATTGATTTTTTTACAGAGAGGAAGAGGGATAGAGACTTAGAAACATTGATGAGAGAGAAACATTGATCAGCTGCCTCCTGCACACCCCCTACTGGGGATGTGCCTGCAACCAAGGTACATGCCCTTGACCAGAATCGAACCTGGGACCCTTCAGTCTGCAGGCCGACGCTCTATCCACTGAGTCAAACTGGTTAGGGCTACCCCTTAATTCTTGATGCAAATATGCAAAAGGACTTGGTTTCTCTAATCTAGGCAGTTTATGGATTAATGTGCAAAACTAATTATGAAAAGTAATCCATTTAGCCCAACAGGTGTGGCTCAGTGGTTGAGCATCAAACCTATGAACCACGAGGTCACCATGAGGTCACGGTTCAATTCCGGTCAGGGCACATGCCCTGGTTGTAGGCTTGTCCCCAGTAGGGGGCATGCAGGAGGCAGCCAATCAATGATTCTCTTTCATCATTGATGTTTCTATTTCTCTCACTCTCTCTGAAATCAATAAAAATATATTTTAAAAAAGGTAATACATTTATTAAAAGGGAATTTGGGGCTGCTTCTTTTAAATCACTTTATAAGGTAGCGTCAATAATAAATACATACTATATAAAATGACGATCTATTATTGGCTGCTCAGAGGTTCTCATCCACCACTTCTGCTCATCACTAGATATCTGAAAAACAAACCAAATATCCATCCTTATATGTGCTGAGTTTTCTAGGAGAGTTTTGATTTAACCCCATCCCACCATAACTACAAAACACTAATATTTCAAAACATTCCGTTACTTTGCTATCTAAATTACATAAACCACATCCTTTCACCAAAAGAATAGTTTGAAAACTCTTTGTATATTCAAAGGCCCTATTTTGCATATAGAAAATATGGTTGCTGTAGTTATGGGCATACATCAATTGGACATTTAGTGTCCTATTGCAACTAATTATAAATTTAAAGATGAACAAATTATTTTTCTTCCAAAAAGGTATGTTGCAAAGTTAGTTATTAGTAGAAACAGAAACTCAAGTTAACTATAAAGTTAACTTTTAGTAAAAAATGTGATAAGGACTTAGAATAATTTATATTATCTATTGCTGTTAATTGTATAAATTGATATTCATAATTAGTCTTGAATACTATTAAAACATAAGCAATTAAAGTTAACATTTCTAACAAGAAATGAGGGATTTGAATGTTGTTAGGCAAATTTTACTTGAGAGGAACATTTAACTTTTGTAGATTTTGGCAAAAATTTTGAAAAAATGTTAATGGCATAAATATAAAAATAAGAACAATATTTAAAGATATACTCTTTTTAAAATTACATTTGCTATTTTGTTTTTGATGGCTTTTAGTCCTGCAAAAGATGTTATAGTAGCCAGGGAGCTATGATTGCTGGCGCAGTACAGGACAGCTTCTTCATAGTTTAAGCGAGGTTCAGGGACAAACCAATATTCACTCCCTTCTATTATAACTGGTGGTCCATGAATTCCAGCACGCTCTAAAGGAAAAGAATATCAGAGTTACGACTGTGTAAACCAAACTGCACCCTCTAAGCATGAATTAATGTTCAAAACTTTTTAAAATTGTAATTCATTTAGACTCCTGGCTCTCTCTGGACAGGACAGTGCTTCCTGAGGACTCCTGAGCCAGTGACTGCCACCCAGAGTCACAGAGAAAGACAAATCCACCCTTGTAGCCTCATCCCACCACAGCCAATCACCTCCCGCCTGGAGATACTTCATCTCAGTTGAAGGTTGTGATAGAGAAGAAACTGTCACTCAGGCCTGGGTTTAAATAAACTAGATGCATTATTGAAAAAGTAAAGGCGGCTTTGGCTAAATTTCAGTTTTCTTAACTTACCTGGATTGTACCAGTCTGGTGTTTTTGGAGTCCGACCTGTATGAGGAAGAAAGCAAGTGGCTCAAGTTTAGTGTCCAATTACAGATCATCACATATATAAGTCAGTGTCTTCAGTCCACAGAGGGCCACAGTATTGCTGAGGTTTGTCCACTTCTGGCTGAACCATTGCCTTTCATGTCATGATCACTTCAATTTGAATTCTGTGGAGACTACGCTAAAGCTATTATAGTGGCAATAAAAAAGCAGATCTGTTGAGTATTAATAAAGTATCACTAGCAGTTCTCTATCTTATACCATAGAAGTCACGAAGGAAGATCAGATGGACAAACATAGCTAATAATTAGAAAGCACAAATGAATAAATGCATCCACTGTACACATTACATAGAAGCACTAAGGAATATGCACCAAAATAATCATCATTGTAGGGTGAGGTTATGCAGAAACCACTTCTCCATCTAACGCAGTTTGAGTAATTGTTCTGTAAACCTGTGTGGGTAGAGTTTATTGTCCACCAGGATATCCTTGGAAACAATGTGCAATGATCCAGTACCGAACCTTTTGAGAAGGTGAAAGACAAAACTGGGAGGGAAACAATGAAAATCACCCAGGCTTCTTGGATAGACACAGAGGAAAGATTGAAGTTGGATGGGCCAATGTCCAAATGCCCTCACACCCTTTGTGTTGAGATGCTGTGGGTCAGTTGTTTAACTCCCCGAGCCTCAGTGTTCTACTCTATAGAAAGTGAGACTCTACCTCTAACTCACAAAGTCTGTTTGAAGCTCAGGTGAGATCGCTCCGGGGGAGCACCCCCCACAGTTCCAGGCACAGAGCAGCTCCTCCCAGGATGCTGGGTTGCTTCCTTTTCCCCTTTCTTTGTGCTTTTAGGTCTCGTTGATTTCCAGTCATCATTTTATGAATCTTAGAAATTACAGAGTAAAATAGCTGTTCCTAATTTTGTCATTGTATCAGGGCATAATGCAAAAGACGGCCTATATATCCAGCATCTTTGGTTTCTCTCTCAGTCAGTTCTCTGCGTGTTAGATAATTTTTTTTTTTTTTTTAACCAACAATGCTGCCAAACAGTTTAAAATGTGTAGTTTCTTGTCAGTAATAATGTGTTGGGGGAATACTATGTCTAAGCTTATTTTTTTTTTTATTACTGAGAAAAGCAGAATACAAGGATTTTGTTTTTTTAAATAAAAAATTACAAATATGACTCAAAAAACTACAGGACACTGAAAAAACAGATGGAGGAAGACATAAACAGATGGAAGAACATACGGTGTTCATGGATTGGTAGAATCAACATCATTAAAATGTCCATACTACTCAAAGCAATCTATAGATTCAATGCACTCCCCATTAAAATACCAACAGCATATTTCACAGACCTAGAACGAATTCTCCAAAAATTCATCTGGAATAAAAAAAGACCCTGAATAGCTGCAGCAATCCTGAGAAAGAAGAACAAAGTAGGAGGGATTTCAATACCAGGTATCAGCTATATTAAAAAGCCACTGTTCTCAAAACTGCCTGGTACTGGCACAGGAACAGACATATAGACCAATGGAATAGAATAGAGAGCCCAGAAATTGACCCAATCCCCAAGCTCAATTAATATTTGACAAAGGAGGCAAGAGCATACAATGGAATCAAGACAGTCTCTTCATTAAATGGTGTTGTGAAAATTGGTCAGATACATGCAAAAAATGAAACTAGACCACCAACTTACATCATACACAAAAAAAACCCCTCAAAATGGATAAAGGACTAAAACGTAAGATGGAAACCATAAAAATCTTAGAGAAATCCAGAGGCAGCAAAATCTCAGACATATGTTGAAAAGATGTAGATTCAAGTGGAAAGTATAGCTGGGCAAGTGTTGGTGGAGTGAAGCGATCTGTTACCTTTTCCACCTGGAATTTTCTTGAGCCAGGTAAGTGGCTTCGCCTTTAAAGTAATAGAATACAGTGACTTGTGAAATGCAGCATATCTCCCAAATATGTTCTATATGTTATTTGCTTACCTTTGAAATGTGAGGGAGATTATGATCTTCAAGGCTAGAATCTAGTTATGGGACCATAAATAGAAGCAGTGACTATGTCTTCCTTATTAAGTCCTTGGAAATAATAAGCCAATAAAGGAGTCTAGAAAACTCAGTTCTCAGAAACCACCCTCTAATGGCATAGGGCTAGAACCCTCGGTGTCAGTATTTTTATTTTATCTTTTTCATGTGAATCTCAAGCCAAATCTAGAAGCTTCATTGTGAAGCACTTTATATTTTCATCTCTCTGCTTCTTCTTACTCCAAAATTGAATGTGTTTGCTTCTGTTATCCATAATGGGTGAGAATTAAGGAGGCAATATATTGTAAGTATTATTTATTCTTTTTTTAATTATTTATTTATTTTATTTATTGATTAAGGTATTACATATGTGTGCTTATCCCCTTTTTGCCCCCCCACACTCATGCCCTCACCCCCTGCTGTCTGTGTCCATTGGTTAGGCTTATATCCATGCATACAAGTCCTTTGGTTGAGCTCTTCCCCTTACCCCCACCCTCGCCTACCTTCCCTCTGAGGTTTGACAGCCTGATTGATGTTTCTCTGTCTCTGGATCTGTTTTTGTTCATCAGTTTATTTTGTTCATTATATTCTACAAATGAGTGAGCCACTGTGGAGAACAGTATGGAGTTTCCTCAAAAAACTAAAAATAGAACTCCCATTCGACCCAGTAATCCCACTTTTAGGAATATATCCCAAGAAACTAGAAGCACCAATCAGAAAGGATATATGCACCCCTATCTTCATAGCAGCACAATTTACCATAGCTAAGATTTGGAAACAGCCTAAGTGTCCATCAGCAGATGAGTGGATTAAAAAACTGTGGTACATCTACACAATGGAATACTATACTGCTGTAAAAAGGAAGGAACTCCTACCATTTGCAACAGCATGAATGGAACTAGAGAGCATTATGTTAAGCAAAATAAGCCAGCCAGAGAAAGATAAATATCACATCATCTCACTCATTTGTGGAATATAATGAACAACATAAACTGATGAACAAAAACAGATCCAAAGACAGAGAAGCATTGATCAGACTGTCAAACCTCAGAGGGAAGGCAGGGGAGGGTGGGGAAGGGAGAGAGATAAACCAAATGTCTTGTATGCATGCATATAAGCCTAACCAATAGACACAGAGAAGAGGGAGGTGAGGGCATGAGTGGGGGTGGGGGAGTGGGAGGGCAATGGGGGGATAAGGACACATATGTAATACTGTAATCAATAAAGAATTTCAAAAAATTACAAATATGTATGTATGTACAAAGTATCAAAAAATATTAAAATGTTATATTTTGGAAGTGGCTTTATAGGTAATTTTCCTAAAACATGTCTACGACTTATTTTTGATATTATTTTCTCAATTAAAAAAAATAATATTTTAAAAGTATATATAGGCCTGGCAGGTGTGGGTCAGTTGGTTGGAATGTTGTCTTATACACTGAAAGGTTACAGGTTTGATTCCCGGTCAGGGCACATACCCAGGTTGTGGATTTCATCTAGTTCAGGGTGCATATGGGAGGCAACCGGTCAATGTTTCTCTCTCACATTGATATTTCTCTTTCTCTCCCTTCAAAAATCAATAAGCACATATCATTGGGTGAGGATTTAAATACACACACACACACACACACACACACACACACACACACACTTCCCCTTTTATTAATGAGCAGCCAGTTTGCCTTTGTGAAAGAGACTTGAAAGTTACTATATCAAAAGTCATGTCTGAAGTTCTTTTAAAGGCAGTATGATAGTCTTTTTTTAAGGAAAAAGAACAATCTTCTTGTAGGTGGTCTAGCAGTGATGGCGAACCTTTTGAGCTCGGCGTGCCAGCATTTTGAAAAGCCCTAACTTAACTCTGGTGCCGTGTCACATATAGAAATTTTTTGATATTTGCAACCATAGTAAAACAAAGATTTATATTTTTGATATTTATTTTATATATTTAAATGCCATTTAACAAAGATAAATCAATCAAAAAAGTGAGTTCGCATGTCACCTCTGACACACTTGTCATAGGTTCGCCATCCCTGGGGGGGGGGGGGGGGGTTTCCATGATGCAATCTTTGGGTTATTTGAGAACTTGTAGGAGGATATACCTTAGGTTTCAATAATCTGTTTAGATTCAATTCAGAAATTCATTCTGGAACTTTCTGTACTTTTACCACTAACAATTTCATATATTTAGTATCTACTTAAAATAATTTGGGAGTTAAAATCTTAAGATTTTCCTTTTTAGTCCTGGTCATTTTCTTAGTAAAAAGCTAAGTAAAAGGACACCTACTTATTCTCCTTTCTCTTCCTTTTGTCACCAAAGGTTCTACTAGTCAAGCTATCTCCTGAATTTGAATTACATAAACTATTAGCAGCTTTTGAGTTCATTGAAAATAATTTCTAAAAATTTCAGGAAAATGCTGGAATTTGATTTCCTGATTCATATACTTCATTCTTCTCACACTTATCTTCATTTTGAATCAAAATAAAAATGATCCCACCTTGGCTGGCATGCTCAGTGGTTAGAGCACGGGCCCCACACGCTGAAGGGTCGTGGGTTCGATTCAGGTCAAGAGCATGTACCTGGGTTTCAGGTTCATCCCTGGCCCTGGCTGGGGCATGTGTGGGAGGCAACTAATCGATGACTCTCACATTGATGTTTCTCTCTCTTCCTCCTCCCTCTCGCCCCTTCCCTCCCTCCTTTCTACTCTCTAAAATCAATAGAAAAAAATATCCTCAGGTGAGGATAATAAAAAAAACAAATTATTCCCTCTGCCACACTGCTTCTTTTATTTAAAATAATCTTTCGTTCCAAGATCTAATCACCCTAAATTAGCTTTAAATTTTACCTTCTATACAAATTCTTTTGTGATAAAAGAGGAAGGTACCATCAAATTTCAATAATCCAGCCTTCCAGGAGGGATATTATAAGGCAGGATGGAGCTCAATATATTAATTCCATCTTCAAAGGTTTTAAAAAAATTATAATTATAGACTAAGATGCTCTCTTACAATGTCCCCATGAAAAGACAGTGAAAAGGAATAACTGCCACTTACCTTTTGGAATCTGGCACACCCATTCCAGTTTTGTATCACAAGCGAAAGGCCTTAAATAAATATATTCTCTGTCATTATGGAAATGCCAGCCTCTTCGCCATAGCCTCTGCATGACCTGAAAGAGGATCGCACATTATTTTGAAGTTGATGCAACCCTTATAAAATACTAAACTGTTTTTAACTCTATTTTAGCTCTAGCACCAAGGTATTTTTTTAATGAATAAACACATGAATGAAGGCAGTGTTTAAACAGTAAAAGCCTAGGCAAGAGGCTGATAAAGGGATATATGATCATGTTTATGTCCAATATATAAATTATTGGGGTTTTTTGTTGTTGTTGTTGATATGAAATTGTAGAATCTTGTACCATTAAATTTGGGATGGGCCAAGCTAGAAAAGAATATTTGGTTCAGTGGTTTCTAAACACTAGGCTGTATTAAAATAGATCTCTGAAAAGTGACATAAAAGGAGCCGGGCATCAGGAGCCCAGGCTCCTTCTTTGGTGTTGCTCTGCATTCCTAGGATGTTGTCCTTCTCCACATGGTCCAAGATGGCACTCTACAAACTCCAGCTGGCAAGCAGGGGAGAAAGGAAAGGGGAGGGCACGACCTGGGTGGAGTATCCATCATTTTTTGGACTGTTTTTTTGTAAGGCCAATATTCTTGTGGGTACAGTGGCAGGTGAGGTAAGATTCTCCTTCTAGAACACTGTGCTGGCTGGCTTTATCCCTGATGCAGGCAGCATCAGTGGCTCTTTTATTTATTTTTTTTGGTAAATTTTTCAATCTTTTCACACATGGGGACAGAAGATAGTCTATTGCATCAGTGTTCTAGAAACTTCACAAACTTCTCTGAAGTTTTCACCTATTCATGTGTTAAATTGGGAATCTATAAAAATGGTCTGAACGATGCAGTTTATTACTAGAACAGCTACTTTAAAAATAGTGCTTTTCAATGGCCTTCTCTCAACCTTCTTCATCTCAACCTTCCTGTAATATTTCTGGTCAATCACCTTCTTGAAGCTATTTTTGGGCTTACATAGCTAAGATATTAGCTAGATGTCTCTTTTTCCCTCATCTTCTTATATTTTATGTGTTGGCAATTCCCCCAAATCTACTTATTGGCCCTTTGATACTTCATTTTATATACATTTTCCCTCCAGTTCTAGTATCTTGGTTTCTACTCACTTTATTTCTTACTGCTAGGTTGGATTCAAAATATCTAAACTAAAATGTACTATTTTCTCTGTAAACCAGTACCCCTTCTGACTGCTTCCATAAATACCTAGTCATAGTGGACATAGCATAGCGGACTCAGCCACGTGGGTTTAAATTTTAGTTCTGTAACCACGTAAGTTACAGAGTTAAAATTTCTTCCTTGTAAGATGAATACAATAATAGCACCTATCTCACAAGGCTGCTTAAGTATTAAGTGAAGTAATATATGTGACATGCCTAATACTGTGCCTGGCTCATGAGTCAACAAGTATTAATAGCTGCCTCACTACCACCATCTTCATTCTCCCATAAAACTTATACTTTGCCCGCCATAAGCCTTGTAATTACTTGTTTACTTGTGTTTATCTCCAACTAGACTGTAAGGTCTGTGGAGACAATGACTGTGCTATACTTTGTCATTACTGTATCTCCAAAGTGTCACAGACTTCTTGGGCATATTACTTATGAAATGGATAAGTGAATCAATTCTGCAAAGAAAGATGCATAATTCATTTTTTATGTCTTTTGGTCCTATCTGTTGCATCTTGAAATCTGTCTCAAGATGAATCTTCTCACACCCTCTTTAGTTCATGTCAAAAACTTTGAAAAATACTGTTGCCTACCAAAAAAAATGCACAAACTCCTTAACCAGGCAGCAATATTTTTCACAACTTTGTTTTCCAAAAATACCAATTAAGACTTCTTAATCTGTATTCTGTCTCCCTCACTGTCTTACCATCTCCCTTCCACTCCTACTTAATTTTATGATACTTCCTCGTACAATTTCCCCATTAGAGAGCTTTAACCTATCCTACCTGACCAAATTCTATCCCTCCTTGAAGGCCTCATTCATGTCCTACCCTTTCTGGAAATAGGCTACAGGAATCGTTTCTTCTCTGAGTTTCATTAGCCCTCTTTAGCCCACTCATTTAGGCTTATTACTGCATAGAAATAAGAGCTGTCTTTCCTGAACATGAATTTTATCTTCTCAAATTAAGTATAAGTTAGGTTTCTTAAGGGCTGGGCCATGCATATACTTCTTACCTCCCATCACACCTAATACCACACACAAAAGGCGCCCCATGCGTCTGTGCCGGACTGCACAGGATGCCGGATTTATTGTTAAAACATGCAGATTTCCCATCGTTGTACTGACCTTGACAGCAGCACAGTCTCTGACATCATAATCCTGCTGGAACTCATTTTCCATGATAAAAGTAGACACCTTCAAAGACAGAGAGGCTTGAGAATTTAAGACTGATGCATAAATATTTGCAATTTAGATGTAATTTAGGCAGCTTTAATAATTCAAGTGTGGTCCTAGGCCATGGAAGGAAAACTTTTTCATTTCCCTTTCTGTCTGAGGATGCTAAATCATGAGAGGCTTTAGAAAATGTCATAATGTCATCAGTTTCCAAACAAAGGAAGATGACAGTTTTGAAAGAGGTGGTTAATGGTGCATTAATTTCACAATTGGAGTCACAGAATCAGGGGCTGGCAAAATACTTTTTTTTTTTTTGCATGTGTTAAAATGCTAGTTGTTTGATGAACTATTCTCAGATATGCTCCAATTTGAAAATGAAAGCCAAGAAATTTCACATTTTGAAAGATTATACAACAGTGATGTGGAGTGAATATTTAATATTTGAGAATTATCTGCTCTTATAAGTGTTACCTAAAACTTCTCTTTAGGATAATGTAAATATTGATATAACATTTAAGGAGTTTTTAGGGTTCCTCCAAACAAATTATTTTCCTCAATTAAGGTGCTTTCTTCTTTTTTTTGGTTAATCCTCATCTGAGGATATTTCCATTAACTTTTAGAGAGAGTGGAAGTGAGGGATGGAGGGGGAGGAGGAGTGGGGGGAGAGTGAAACATATATGTGAGAGAGACACATCGATTGGTTGCCTTCCATACATGTCCCGACTGGGGCCAAGGATGCAACCCACATCCTAGGTAACAATGCCCTTGACCGGGAATCAAACCCACGACTCCGGTGCGTGGACAGACTCTCTAACCACTGAGCCATGCTGGTCAGGGCAAGGTATTTTCGTTTTTACATAACTCCTATATTTTTAAACCATAAAAGGAAAAGCTTCCCACTATGAAAAAGAAAGCAATTACAAAGAAAAATTAATTGTATAAGATGAACACAATATCTATATAACTATATTTTTATATATTTGGATTATATAGAGAAAGCCTAAACATGTTTATTTTTTAAATAAAAATGAGGTGATTAGCATGTTTTATCCATACTTCATATTTATGAATCTATTTCCACTTCGATAAAGATACATCTACAAAATTAATTTAATGGTTATATGGCATGTGGATGTATTATTTAATAATCAGCTTACTTATTATTGAAACAAATACTATTTCAATATTACCCCAAACAAGGAAGTTTAAACTTACTGGTGTACGATCACTCCATTGCCAAGATCCTTGTAAATCAGGGCTCCTTTTATTCAAACCTATCCACAGCCATCGCTCGCCACTATGTAAAAAGGAAGTGTTAAAAAGAAATTGAGCACGGCCTTTGGCAAAAATATTTAGCATTCACATGTCTAAAATGCTTAGGAAGAGTAAGTTTTTCCAGAAGACCTGTCACTAACTGAAAAGCACATTTTTAAGCTATATAAAGAAGTCTTCTGAAACGAAACCAATCCCTACATATAGGGTAGCTGTGAAAAAGTACCATAGTTTTTTAAAACTAAATTTTAAGTTATTTCCTTTGCATGAAAGGCAAAAACTATTCCACTTTGAACTTAAGAAAAAAGCATATGATTATTCTAAAACTTTTACTGCAGAGCTTCAATATTAGCAATGTCATCAGATACAGTTAAATATGACAATGGCATTTCTTTAAACATCTGTCTATAGCACTGTCAAATACCGTCTCTTTATTTATTTTTAATATATATATATATTTATATATATATATTTTTATTATTATTAGTTAAGGTATTACAAATGTGTTCTCATCCCCCCCATTAACCCCCAACCTCCCCCCCCCCCCCGCCCTACACACTCACGATCCCATCCCCCTGTTGTCCATGTCCATTGGTTTGGCTTATATACATGTATACAAGTCCTTCAGTTGATCTCTTCCCCTTACCGCCGCCCTCCCCTACTTTCCTTCTGGGGATTGATAGCCTGATCGCTGTTTCTCAGTCTTTGGATCTGTCCCTTTTCATCAGTCTATGTTGTTCTCTATAATCCACAAATGAGTGAGATCATGTGGTATCAAACACCGTCTCTTTAAAATGCAAAACAAACCATTTGGCTAAATTTTTATTAAACAAGATTTTTAAACAATTATTTAATTCCCATTGCCCATAAAATTTAAAGTAAAGAAGTATTTTCTAAATGCCAAACTCCATGGGCTATAGCAGAGCAATATAATCAAGCAATCACTGAAGTGATTATATTTAACACTCATAACTATTATACTTTTATGTACAAGTTACTGAGCTACATGCAATGGTGATACAGAGAAGGACAAGACCTAATATCTATTCTCAAATGGCATATAAACTAGTCAGGGAGACAAGATATATGTGAACAAAGAGAATATAAGACTATGTTTGAAAGACATCAAATGATATGCCATTTGCACACATTTTTAAGACTACAAAAGTTCAGTGAGAGGAAAGGTCCGTGGTCGACTGCAGGAAGTCGGAAAATAACCTGTGAGCATGGGAGGACAAAAACAGTCTTCTGAGTGTTTACCATCTGCCAGTATTCAGATTGGCTGAGAAGAGGAAGGTGGCCCAAGGAAGAATATAAACAACACGTAGAGGCAGGGACATACCATAAAAAAACTTTCTCCTCCTCTAACCCAACGTGAAAATATTCTGTAAAATGTATTACACTCTCTAGGCCTTAACAGGTAAGCTATTTACCATGTAATTTGTGTGTGTGTGTGTGTGTGTGTGTGTGTGTGTGTGTGTGATGCTTGTTTCTTTCCATATAATTTAACTTTCTGATTGCACATGTATGTATGATCAGTACATATGAATGCATATTATATTGCATAACAATACATATATACATAGAAATATTTTATGTATATAAATATAACACATATTAGAGAAGGGGTAGGATCAAAATCTAAAATTAATCCTTACTCTCAAGCTCAGTAGAACATATAGGATATATGGAAGGTTCAGCTACAAGACCACTGGAAAGTGAAAGTCTGCATTTAAAACATTTGCTAGTAAATCAAAGGCTAGAGCAAACTTAGTTTTAATTTAATTCCTTATTTTTAAATAAAATAATTGCTTTTCTTTATGTCTGTACTCAACAGTCCTTGTATTTTCTTATCAATAAGCACCTATTCATCTTTTCAACTTCAACCTCTCAGTTTCCTGCAGTGGGATATCAGGACTGCCCCCTTTCAGTTTTGACTGTTGTATTGTTTCATAGAGAAAGATCACCAATTTGCAGACTTTAAAAAATTCCGTGGAGATAATTAAGTCCGCTTTGAACTTAGCAGCTGTAAGAGGAATTTGCAGTTTGTGTCTGCAACTATCAGAGCTTTCTTACAGGCTTGCAAATTTATCATACTTCCCGATTGTTGAATACCTAAACCACAGGGTTGAGGCAATTGCCATACACAGATATAATTAAAATTAGATGGCCGAAATAAAGAGGAGGTTAAGTTTTGGAGAATTTGTGCAGAATTTTGTGTTGCCCTAAAATAATCACTAGTTAGTTTCTCTTCTTTACACAATCAACAGTACGAACATAAAGATAGTAAAATATTATTTGCCCAAGATTCTTTCGCGATGTGTCTGCAACATGTCCACCCCGTTTTCTCTTGGCTTCACTTTTTCCCACTTAGAACCTCTACCTTCAGGCCCATTTCTGCCTCCATGGCTGCATCTCGAGAACAGTTTCCTAGAGAGCTGAGTTTGCCCTACTGCCCCAAATTCCTAATTTTTACTACTTCCTGAGTTTGAACTTCATTTCAACCCAGACATTTAGAGTTTTCAGCTTCCATTTTAAGAGATACATCTGTGTTATAAATATAGAAAATAGTAGCTATTTGTGTGTGGGGTTTTTTCCTGTGTGAGAAGAGGTAGAAAATATTTCCTCAGTTACAGCTTATTTCTGGTTTGACCTGATTTATCTGTAGGCAGATAAAGAGAAGAAATTGGAAATTACATTAATCATTGCATACCTCTACTGTGGATTTTAGAAAATTGGAGAAAAAAATTGACCATAATTAGGGACTCAAATCTCCTGAAATTTTATCTCTATTTATAAATTTCTTCTAATCCAAGCACTAAGTATACTGTTTAAGACTGTTAGGGTAAGAAGGCATTGCATGAAAGGTTAACACGTGTATTTGTGTGAAAATTCCCACTCTCAGCCAAATTTCCTGCTGCATCTGGTTTCTGAGGAAAACAGTATCTCAGCCATAACTTCCAATAAATACTATTTGATGAGGGCGCTTAGTCTGCAAAACCCTAGATTTATATCTAAATCCATTCATGCCGCATCACAGGGGGTAGTGCACACAGCAGCAATGGCATTGCAAACAATGCTTTTCTTCTCTAATCTTATGACTATTTTTTGCTCTACAATGGCTTTCCCTGGTGGGCTGCCATTAAGAGTTGCAAAGATCTTAGAGCCTTTAAGACTGGTACACCATGAATCCTTTTCATTGAAATACAAATAGAGATGTGGAATGTAGATTGTGAGAAGTACAGCAGTAATCTGACTTAACTCTTTGGCATGCAATACACAATTTGGGCAATGGACATCTTACTGAGAAAGGTCAATTTCTGCCATAAAAAGCCAAGGTGTTCTAGGATTAAGCTTTAGAATCATTCTTCTGATGTAAATAGGCTTGCTTCCTTCCTTCCCATGGTCACAGTATTGCTTTTAGAATATGCTGTCTTTCTAAATATAGCATGGGCAAACGATCTCTTTATTAATAGAGTGCGTAAGCAGACAACAGTCTGCTTAATATGGCATTGTGTTAGCTGCTGGGGTAAGACTGTAATACCATATAGTCTTTAAGAGTGAGAGGATTATGGTTGTTTTCCTTGGTGCTTTTCTGTGTTCTAAATTCAATGTGCATTACTTTTATGATCAGAAAAAAAACCACCATTGTACATTCTGTGTTACACTAAATCAGGGGTGGGCAAACTTTTTGACTCGAGGGCCACAATGGGTTCTTAAACTGGACGGGAGGGCCAGAACAAAAGCATGGATGGAGTGTTTGTGTGAACTAATATAAATTCAAAGTAAACATCATTACATAAAAGGGTACGGTCTTTTTTTTTTTTTTAGTTTTATTCATTTCAAACGGGCCGGATTCGGCCCGCGGGCCGTAGTTTGCCCACGGCTGCACTAAATGTTAACTGTTTATAACTTGGAGCTAGGATTTGAGGTGATTTTTATTTTCTTCATTATTATTTTTCTATTTCACAAATTTTACATAATAAACTCGCATCACTCTTTAAATTGGGGTTGGGGGAGCCTCAGCAAGTGTGATTAGAAACAAATCAAGAATGATTTCTTACTTATCACTCAGACTTTAGTTTTGATTTTTAATGTAATCTATTTTGCATATAGAAGCCCTTAGGGATCACTTATGTCACATATGATATTCTATTTCCCATGAACTGATTCTCACAAATATCTACCACTTCATTGCTTAGTACTTACCCATGGTTCCCTGTTCCAGTTAAAGGTTCATAACCTCTTGCTTGGTGTTATTCAAAATCTGATTTATGCCAGTATTTTACTTAAAAATACTATAGCCTAGATAGCATGATATGTGTGTGTCAAGCTTGAGATCTGGGGGCCCGTAAGTTACCCTGACGAAACCCTTACTTCAGGGAGGACCAGCAGGGCACGGAACGGCCATGTTCCAGAGGCAGTCACCTCAAGGACATCTGTCATTCGAAGCCACACTTGAGGCTTCGGTAATTAGCAGAGTGAATGTCAGAAATGGGTTTATAGCAGTGAAATTAGAAGCTTGTTGTTAATCAACATATCAGAAATAGACTCATTGGTGAAACTGAACTTATTCAAGAAATGAGGAATGACTAAAATATTTAAAGGCTCTCACCCTTTAGGGAGGCGTATTAGAATCTGGTGAGGCTGGTAGTCCCTACACCACTGGAAATGGACCTGGGGCTTGGGCTCCAAATGGTTGCAGGTCCTGTCGCTGGGTCAGGTGATTGGGACTGCATGACTCTGACAATAATGGGAACAGAGTCCCACCTCTGGAACGTTGTCACATCTACCCCAAATAAACCTGCCCCTCAAGATGGTGGTGGAAACACCTAAAAAGATAGACTGCTGGGATGTTGTCAAGCTTACCAGTCAGGTTGTACGAAACATTTTGTGCCTGCTTCAATGAATGCTTGTTTAACAAATGTCTGTTTGTGTGGAAAGATTTGGTCTGAGTTTTGCATTCATTATAATCTACCCCTCAAGATTGAGGGGAGTAGCTAAGAAACACTCACCTCATAAGGA